CGCAGATTGCACATAGATTGCTGTTCAGGTATGTATTGCTGTGGTCAAAGTTACTGTAAATTATTTTTATTGTAGTAATGGTACATTATTACTATAATAAAATTGTAATAATAACCTAGATACTACTTACTCAGAGTCGACCTTTTTATCTGATTTATTGAAGGTTTTTTATTCTTAAGTCAGTTCACTAATGCCTAGGTACTTTCTCCCACCCTCCTAAGACTCTAACTCTTAGGTGCCGTTATAAAATTTAGTACTTGATTACAAAATGTGACATTTCTACGTAGAAACGATTTGCTAAACGAAGGCTAACGAAAATGTATTCCAAGTTTTAAGATTGATCAAAAACCTCTAACTTTTATCTCAATAAAGATTTACAAAAATTACGATTAACAATGATATATTTTTTAGAATAATGTGGCGAGGTGGCAGTGGTTTAGCGGAGAAGGTTGCATCGGGTCTCCAGAAAGTACCGATGGTGGTCAGCGCTGGATTACTTTGTGCCGTGCCGTTATCTTGTGGAGCTGCTTCCCTCGTCGCCGGCGCAGCCTTCTATGCATTTATGGTGAGTTTTGTGACAAGTTTATAAGGGGTCATCCATAAATTACGTCACACGAATTTCATGATCCCTCCCTCCCCTTTGTCACACAATGTTATACTTCGTCGGCCCCTAATTGTAAGATTAATTTTAACGTAAAATTGGCAGGTATAGACTGTTATAAGATTTTCGACTTTGTTACATAGGCATAAATTTGAAAATACAAAAAAACTTGATAGGTGTTCGTAACTTGTATATTTCTCTATCCAATGTTCTCAATAATGTTACGTAATAGATACCTATAATACTGATAATAAGTCTTAAAACTTTGAGTTGTTCTTGTATTATTTTTAGCAAAATAAACATAGGAACATTTTAGATAGTTAAACGGTTAATTCAACACTCGCCTAATGAACTCATTATCAATTACATTACCTAATGTTATATGAAACTAGGTTAATAGTCATAAATGTTTCTAAAATACGTCTACTGTCTAACCACAAATTATATTATAGAATTCAATTTCATTAACCATTTTTTTCACTAATTTCCAGCTATCAAAAATGTACGAGGAGTACCTAGAAGATTACGTATACAAACTAATGGCAAAAGTAGGCTCCAGAATTTGCTATATGTTTAAAAAGAAAAGGACAACTGTACATGTTTCTGAAACTAGTCTTATCAAAGAGGAATTATCTAGTCAAGAAGGGCAAGGAGACGGGAATAAGGAGACTGATGTGATGTTAGACAATACATGTCCAACATCCATGGATGATAAGGAAGAGAAGCATTCGGATGTGGATGAGGATCTCAGCGCTTTGAACTTCCACATGATGATGTTTTGTTTGTGGTTGGCGGTGACTCTAATCAATGTGCCCGCGTTACTCACGTGGGCTAGGAATTTTTCGTAAGTTGTTATAATCTTATAATTTATACATAACATAACATCACGCCTTTTATCCCCGAAGGGGTAGGCAGAGGTGCACATTATGCCACTGTACAATGTAACACCCACTTTTCACTATTTATGTTATGAGTTCCATGTAATAGGGGGTGAGCCTATTGCTATATACCGGCCACAATTCCAGACTCCGTGTTACAACTGAGAATTAAAAAAAAACCACTAATACTTTGCCCGACCCGGGAATCGAACCCGAGACCCCTTGCGACTACTTGGCCAACGAGGCAGTCATTATTTATTTATTATCTTAAGTTATATTATTTATTTATTTAAGTTTTAAACTCTTGGTCAATCTTTGTAGCTTGGCAAAAATAACTGATGCATATTCAAAAAGAATATGCATCAGTTATTGCATTTTATGTCTTAAAATGTTCACATCCAAGAAAGCTAAGAACAAAGATTGATCTAAAGTGTCCGACTAAGCCAGCTAACCCAAGTTCCTTTCCTGCATGGAAACTGAATTTGATATAGTAATAACAACACTTACATAAGAGCAAAATCTTTTAAAATTCTAATAAAATTGTGACTAATTCTAGTTACTGGTTTTTTATTCATTATGAAGTGGACCCTAAAACGCTGTATCGTTTGGCTTAACCAATTTGAAGTGCATCTTGCTTAATAGGTATAATGCATCATAATGTAATACTGCCTTAATGAAAGCCTTTCAGGGGCACGACCTTCAGAAATGAAGCAAGCGATCGAGAAGAGAAATTAATACTATGTTTATGTGTTTATTATTTCAGATACAGCATGGTACTGAAGCCTGATACTTCGTATAACATTGGTTTAATTATGTCAGCCTGTTCTACCTGTGTGTGGCAGATGAATGGACCCAGGAAGAATTTGTAAGTATCCATACAGATAACATTATAAACTATTGAGTCGTTATTAATTAGTTCTAAATTGAACTACGAAAAGAAATTTTGATATACATACAAAATATTATGGACCATGGCTTGAAACAAGGCCAGTTATCTATCTCGACGGACAGTTACTAGTAACGCGTGTTGCCTGTTTAACATAATAATAATATAATAAATATGCCAATTATCATCTGATTTTAATTTTATTTGCAGGAGACACTACGAGTCTGTGACGCTCTATGTTTTCGATGGCTGTATTTCTAATAGCTTTGGGCCCACTCACCCTAAGTCTTGTCAACTACGGTATAGCACTTATTTTCGCCGTGATTACTGTACAGCAGTCTGTGATAAAGAAGAGATTGTACAAAATAGAGACGAAAACAGCGAAAATGATGACAACGATAACACTGAAAATGACACGGAAAAGATGAATAATCAGAACGAATTTGATGAGAAAAATCAAGAGGATAAATGCGAAGGGAACAACAGTGATAAAACCAGTGAAAGTTCGGAAATGGAAGACGCCGTCGACCATTGCGAGGTTTGCAGCGAGAGCAGAATATTCAACGTTATCAAACGATTAGAGACAAAATTAGTTTCACGAAAACTTATAAATGAGTATCATATTATTATACCTTTCCCTAAACATTACGGAAATTTTAAAAGTGTTTAATTGTACCGTGAGCATACTAAAATCTCTCGAGTAGTATGATAGTGTAGGTATGTGTCAAAGTTCTTTGGTTAGAATGTCTACCTCGAATTACTACCTGTTGAAATTCTTAATGAGATGTATTGTATTAATTTATGAACATAATATGGAAATGAGAAAGTGAGCTGACGATGATCAGGGTCATGGGAAAGATGTGGATATTTACAGAAAAAGACTGGCAAAATGGTGCATGCGAAGGAGACTTCCACTCTGCAGTGAGTGGATGAAAGGTTGAAGGAGAGGAGCGTGTCTTAATTATCAGTGAATATTTTTTGACGTGACGTCAATGACGTCTTTGGAAGTTTTAATTATGCATTTTTTAAATTAAATAAGAAAAATTGCGTACCCAATATATTTTTTTTATTCTTATTAGGATGTAGCATAAAGTTAATGTTTCTCGTGGAACATTCTCAAGCTTTTAAATTCTTACATTCTAAATATATCCACTGTTCGAAAAGTTTTACAATATCCTTAATACTTATTGCAAAGCTAAATTGCACTTACAGGCTTTTAGATAAAGCACAATTTCCATTTTAATGTTACCTTTCTGTCTCGATTAGAGGATACATGAGATTACATATTATTAGAATATTGAACATAATTATTGTGTTCTTACATATAAAATCTATGTATGTTACAAATGTAGAGATTATCTTATCAATGTTACATTTTAACAAAAGAGGTATTTTGATGTTAAAGCTCGTATACACTAGACAATATGTTGAGTTGAGTAAGATAATCATATTGTACCTTAAATATTGCCTAGTGTACACGAGGCTTAAGGCACTAGAAGTTTTAATGTTATAAGTACATAGTAGATGTTTAAAAAATAGTTCTAGTGCCTTATCTGTAGTTAGCCAATTTTGTAGATCTCTATTCTACTATATAGTATGAACAAATTTGTATATTTCATATCAATTACATATATATAGAAGGTGTACTTGTTTCAGACAACAATAAAATTGGAATAGGAATGTAAACTTATGACTGAATAGCTATCTGATGCCACAGCTCTTGAATATAAGCTCTGATTTAGCTTCAACTTTTATGACTGTTAGTATAGTTGTATGAATGTTTTTCTCACACAGTTTATGTAGGCCATCTTACTAATATTATATATGGCGAATGTTTCTGTGCGTTTGTTATTAAATTGCATCAAAACAGCTGAATGGATAGGGATGAAATTCAAAACAGGATAACATTATGGTCTGGAATAGCACAGACTAGTTTTTAACCTACAAGAATGTGGGCGAAGCTATTGGCCGAAGCTAGTATGTTATATTTCAATTTAGTATGTCTCACAAGTTACAATAATTACTCTGATTAATATTTTAAATGAAGCAATAATGTAAGTGAAGCTCAAATTTTTGTTTTTTATTTGTATAGTACCCTATGAGTGTGTTGTGAATGTTAATTTAAAAAGAAATTGTCTAAGTGTTATTATTTTTTATATAATCTATCTTTAATATATTCAATATTTACAAAAACGCATTAATTACATGGTTTACTGAATAGCAATTATTTTAGAAATCTTCTGTAATTTATATAAATAATAATTATTGTTCTCAAGACATCACATATCTTGCAAGTGAATTTAATGTAGAATTACCTGCAATAATATAAATGATTGTATCTACGTAGTTGGAGATATGTTAAAATACAATATTATTATGATCAATTAAAATTCAGTATAGCCGTTTCTCTTGAAATATGTTTTTTTTACTCTTTACTTCCATTGAAACACCCTCAGAATACAAAAAAGAATTGACATTATCTACTGCTATAAATTGATTGACGGTAATAGCAATACTTTCACAATAGAAATATTTGCCACATCTACTTTTTGATTGATTTGTGTTTTATACCATCTGCACAAAGAAAAATTTTTGGTAACGGACACAATAAAACCAATGAACCTTATTAACTATTTTATTTGAGAGTAAAGAAATACATAACTGATGAAATTGCACTCGTGGTCATGGTGTGTGCGGCATATACAAGGTAGGAATGTTCATTTCTTCCCTTCTTTCCTGCTGGTTTTTCTTCATTACTTCTGGGGTTCTGCCAATTTAGTGGGTTGCGGCGGTACATGGGCCATGGAGGAACAGTCAGGATTGCAGCTAAGATGAATCCGGCCCCCAGTATGTATACAGACTGCGAAAACTGTTGAACGATGTAGCCCCATACGAAACCAACTATACTGAACAGTGTAATAATGGCTCTGTACAATTTTTCAGCTTTAGCCTGGCCTACATAGTCAATATGAGTTGGTATGGAAGTGAAGAAATCCATAATTGTTAATAAAATTACTACAAAACCAGAAAACCTAATCAATTTCTAACCACAACAAATTCAATACTTTTGACAAATCAACGTCAAATGACAGTAATGACACGTCACTGCGTATACTCTTGGTCTTGCCAGCATTCAAAATTGTTTGTCATCCTACTGAAAATCATTAATTGCGTTTGCTTTCATTTATTTTTTTATAATACATAACAACACAAATTACGTTCTTTTTTTGTTACGTATATTCAAATAATATATAAGTTAGAGAAAAAGTACCTATTATAAGAAGTTTACCATGTTAAATCAGAAGGGGATTGTTGTTGAATCAGATGCAATAATAAATAACTAAGTAGCAGACGCTTAGTATTTATTAAGCTTAAAATTATAATTCTGTACCGATAGGTATGTAAAACAAATCTCAAAACATAAATTGATCTCTAGTAAAGAAACCTTATAGTAAAGAAGGATTTGTATTGTAGACATTTTTATTGTATCTTTAGGGAACAATACATCATCAATACCAATTGATTATCTTATAATTGACATCTTAAATACTGAAAAAACCTAGAAATGTAGGGTAGATACTCACTTCAATCTAAGTGATACCTACCCGCAAAAACAAATTGGTAAAATAATGCTCTACATTTATAGCAATACCGCCTACCACTTTGCCGTCAGTCGATTGTCAACATTCAGTACGATCAGACTCATTAGGTTAATTTTTAGTTAACAACAAAGATAATTAGTTTTATTTTCAAAAAGTACAACAAACAAAATTAATAAACAAAATGACAACTTTCAAGCAAGTTCCTCTCACATGCGGTGGCCATACTAGACCAGTCGTGCATTTGGATTTTAGTGACGTTACAAAAGATGGGTATTATTTGATTTCGGCCTGCAAAGGTGAGTTTTGACGACTAATTTGTAATCAGTGTACCCTATCGCCTTGGCCTATATTTGGGTAGAAGTCTTGCAAGTGTATTGGTGTGTGTGAATTGTGGTTTTGCGTGACAGATGTTGGTGACGAGATGTGTTCGAAAGGCCTTCACTTTTCTTGTTTGTGTGTTGTCCGCTTGGCCGGCATGCATTCTATGCATGTTGTGACCTTCTCTTTCCGGACATGCAGGAAGTACCTTGACTATCCGCTTGTATGTTTCCCGGCTGCTCGCCTTGATGATCTTGCTCGTGCTTTTTATTCACGTACAGGCAACATGACTTACAAGTTCCACGCCTTTGTGTGTATGAATTGTTGCAGGCATTAAATTTTGTTCCTATGTTGAATGTTGACATTTCACCCATTGTGGGTCACCTTGTGCTCACTCAAGGTTTGTCAGAGTACTTGACATTAATGTTTACTTTATGGAAGGGCTTGAAAACATGTCACTAAGCGACTTTCAATATGTGGCTGTATAAGGAAAATAGTCAATAACACTTAATGATATAATTGTGCCTTCCTGTCATTGTTCTTTTATGTGTACACAATCTATCAGTGTTGCTTGTTTATACATAGAACAAGTGAAGTTTATTAAAGTTACAAGTGGTTTGTAAACCCTGGGGCCTAAGGGATGCCTTTGATTAGAGAAGTGTTTTGTAGAATGACTAAAAAGGTTTATTTATTTATTTATTTAAGCTTCATGCACAATGTGTACACAAGGTGGACTTAATGCCGCAGGTATTTTCTCCCAGTCTGACCTTTATTTATATTCTGTCATTCTTTACCAGTTGGATGTTATGTTTCATAACTAAGTATGTTTGTTTGAATTCAATTAGTTTTTCATATGAAAGGGGAGGGGAAGGGTTTGTTAGAAACTGATTGTAATATTAATAAACTCTTTTTTAGATGGCAAGCCCATGCTACGACAAGGTGAGACAGGTGATTGGATTGGCACATTTGAAGGTCACAAAGGTGCCGTGTGGGGGGTAGCTCTGACACAAAATGCTAATCTCGCTGCAAGTGGTGCAGCTGATTTCTCAGGTATACATACTTTAAATATGTTTGAGGAAATGTCACCATATTTCTACAAATGAACTCTTAAAACATCTAGTTAGTATAATACAAATGATGAAATAAGATTACAGTAGTCATGTGACAAAAATAAATAAGCTTAAGACACACATTCACTCTAATTAGGTGTAAAAGTATTAGTCAGTGAGTGAAATATTTGGGTTAATATTGTGAAACATTCTGCTACAAAATATAGAAGCATTCTATGAACATAATACCATAGCACTATGTTCATTATTCATTTAGATGAAATGCTATCAGTCAACAAAATTCTATGAAATTCTTTTGTACAAACATGACAATGAGATCTTTCATTTTTAATTCAATTATGTATAGTATTGTTGTAAGTTGACTGACTGATTGCATCATAACTAATCAATGAATACTTGTTTAACCTTGTCAATTTACTATAAGACTTATTTTAAGGAAAACAAGATTCCATTTTATTTCTTCTCTTTTTGACTCTTGTTTGTTGTCCCAATATAATTTTATTTTGATAAAACTGAGAGCTATTGGTAGTGTGAAAAGTGAACCTACAGAGAAAACCTACATTGTCTAAACAAACTTGATTTTATAGGCCTTTGAATCATATTTATGACCTTAAACCTTTTCATATAGGCCTATGTGTCATAATTTGTAAAAAACATTTTCACTTTTTCAGCAAAAATATGGGACGCTCGTTACGGTGAAGTGGTACACACATTCGAACACGAACACATTGTAAAAAGCGTAAACTTCAATGCTGACGACTCTCAGCTCCTTACTGCAAGCAATGAGAAACTCATACGTGTATTTGACCTTAACAAACCTGAAGCAGGAGGTAAGTTTATAATTTGTACCACTCATTATGTAAAATCATGCTACTTAATGCTTAATCAATAAAACTTAGACTTTGTTTGTTTAAGTAAGTAACATAAGTAGGAATAATGTACTAGTGTGTACTAGACTAAGCTAACATCATGATTTTTTATTCTCTGAAGGGTGAGATAGAACACATGTTCAATGTACATAAGTCCCACTTTCACCAACTATGTATTAGGCCCTTGTAACTAATAGGAAGCATGTTGTGGTGGCCCGAGGTTTAAAATGACATTCATATGCAAAGACTGCCTCATTGGCCGAGTGGTCGCAAGTGCAACTGCCGGGCAAGGGGTCTCGGGTCGGGCAAAGTATTACTGGGTTTTTAAATATTCTCAGTAGTAGCACGGAGTCTGGATTTGTGCCCGGTATATGGCAATAAGCTCACCCCTATTACATGGGACTCATAACATAAATAGTGAAAAGTGGGTTAATGTTACTTGTACAGTGGCATAATGTGCACTTCTGTCTACCCCTTCGGGATAAAAGGCGCGATGTTATGTTATATTATGCAGAGAAGCGGTTGCTTCTCTGCATAAGAGCGTGGGTTTAAAACTTGCTAACAGCTAGTGCTAATGTGACATTTCCCGAGTTATACTTACTTAGAAAGTCTTAGACAAACTTAATTGTTGATGTGAACTTAATCAATATAATCCGCTCTACATTTTTTAAATGAATAAGTATAAACAATTATCAGATAGTATTTAAACCTAGATCTTTGTATAAACCATCAAACATATTATAATATAAAACATATGCTTTGTTATAACATTGATTGATTTGACATAAAGGTTTTCTATACATACTTATTAATGTTATCTAAACACAGTTAAAGTTAAGGAAGTTATAACTGTAATTAGCATAATAATAACTCTTATCTTAAATAATTTACATATTTACGTCATGGATTTACTAAATCCAAATATTTATATTAATAAAAGGGTTTAACCTTTTGAATAATTTATTATTATTGTGTACTATAATATCTGTCATGTTTATTATATCAGTAGCTACTTCCGGGCGGTTTCACACGCTCTGCTCAGCTCCTATTGGTCGTAGCGTGATGTTTTATAGCCTATAGCCATCCTCGATAAATGCGCTATCCACACAAAAAGAATTATCCAAATCAAACTTGTAGTTACGGAGATTAGCGCGTTTAAACAAACAAACAAAAAAACAAACTCTTCCGCTTTATAATAGTATATATCATTATAATTAGCTTTCTGCCTGCGCTTCGTCCGTGGGGATTAAAGATTTATCTCGATTAGTTTCCGATGCTGTAGGCATATTGAAATTAAAATTAGCCTGTGTTACTCCTGAAATCTGTCCAAAGTAAAAGAGGTCAGTCCTGTAATTAAGACTCTTTGAAGAATAATCTTTCAATGATGAAAGAATTTTTCAAATCGGTTCCATACTTTCGGAGCTTTGAACGGAAACCAACAGGCACATCTTTGTTTGATTAATTATAATGTTTTCAATGATTTCCATGTAATATACTATGTTTAACATGTCATTAGTTGCTGTTCCATTCACACGTTACGTTAATTTATTATGTGGTTTCCTTGTTTTATTGTGTTTCCACAATAAAAATAATGATACAAAGACAAGAAGACTATGTGGTTTTGTAAAACATTTTATCTGTCACACTTTTGTGTGGGCAGCTGCTGTGGTTCTGGTTAATCAATAACTGTAGTGTAACGCTGAAATACTTAAACTCTACTCAATTTTAAATCGCGCCTAAGTATAGTTCTGTCACTACAAACTCTTTGAAAAACGACAGAGATGGCACGATACTTAAGTACAACTTATAATTGAGTAGCCTTTCAGTATTCGGGCGTATGAAGACTGACTGTATTTTTAGAATAATCTAATTTAATATTACGGTAATAGAACTTCATACATTTTGTTCTTTCAAAGGTTAGGCAGACATGCACATGTTTACATTAAGTATAACAACAACCTTTCATAACATAACACAACATCACGCCTTTTATCCCCGAAGGGTTAGGCAGAGGTGTACATTATGCCTTTCCTTTCCTCAGTTATATTATACGTCTTTGATAGTACAGGCTCTATTAGGACGCCAAGCTTATTGCCGAACAAGGAATGCACGATACTCGGTAGTCGTACTCACGATAGATAACTTGACAAACGAGACAATCTAATTATATATTATATTGTTATTTCCAGCTCTGGAGAAAATAAGCGCGCACACGAGTAGCATCAGACACGCAGTGTTTCTTCATAACTCACGCATAGTCAGCGTGAGCGATGATCTCACAATGAGAGTCTGGGACCGTACTAGTGGACAGGTATGTTATTATAATTATTTTCTTCAACTCTTTATTTGACAAAAATATTGTAATTGAAAAACTAATAATAAGAAGATACTATGCACATTCTGCAATCTCTTATCTTTGGATTGACTCTAGGACTTATTGCACTAATACTGCTTTGGATTTTATTATAAATAAATTTAATTTTAGTAATTGTTAAGCTGTAGACACAGAAGCCTTGAAAATCGGCTAGACTAAACTAATCGGATTTTTGTAATTCTTATTGGACATTTCGCAAATGACATCGGATTATTTTGACTTTTAACGCTATTAATTCTTCTTCTATCTTTGATTTGTGCTACGCTGGTATAACCTGATTTTTTTGTTTTTCAGGAGGTCCAAAAAGTAGAGTTCCCAACCATTCCTAACAGTTTAGAATTGTCTAGGGATGGAGCTATATTGACTGTGGCTCATGGTAAGTTTATTATTTTATCTTCACATCCTAACATAGTATAAAAAGAATTCCCTTTCTCATCCGATAAACTCAAGCTACCAGACAGATTTTTGAATGGTTTTCAACCAATAGGCAGTGTGATTACTAAAGAAGGTTCTAACATATGTATAATTTACAATGGTTTTCAAAACACGAATTAATCTAATTCAACAATATTGTGACATGTTATATAGAGCGATTACGTTCGACCTTAGTACGAATTTACATTTTAATTTCAAGAGCAGATCAAGATCGAGTTACGCGTTAAGACATACCGCACCTGCGTCATAAATATAGCCTTAGGCATTCTTTATACATACATAACATATTTGTTGTTCATAGGATAATGTTTCTTATTCCACGAAACGATTACCGTTTTACCATGCAGGAGTGCAGGAATTAATTATGAGTCCGACGTAATATATTATAGGGAGCTATTCTCGTATACCAGATACAACCCCAAATTCTTGAGTTATTGCTGACAGTTGACAAAAATACGAAACTTACTAATACTTTACTTCACCCACAAATCCTAGAGAAAATTCTAACAGATTGTTTTCGATATAATTGACTAATTAACTTATTGTTATTTTTTCTTTATTCCAGGTACAAATGTATCTTTTTATTCTTCCGACACAATGCGCAAAATGCGCGAATTCCCGGTGCCAACGAAATGCTATTCAGCATCGCTTGCACCAAGCCGTGCGACTTTTGTCTGCGGCGGTGAAGACTTAAAAGTCTATAAATTTGATTATAATACAGGAACAGAACTTGGTGAGTTTTTTTTTGTTATTACAAATATCAATAGGTAATGAGTGAATTAGATTCTGCGTATAAGTTTTACATTGTGTTTAAGAGCAATTCCTTTTGAAAACAAGTATTATATAAATCGTACTCTCATAAATCAGGTCATTGCACAATAAGGAAAAAATCTATTGACACAGTTGGAATAACAATACTTTGTTTGACTACATTTTTATTTTAGCTATGCATGTCACATATAAACCAAAGTTCACTACAGCTTTATTTTAGAATTCTTTATTTTGCAAACTAAGCACGAAATTACCATTACAAAATTCATTCTAATGGCACTGTTACCTGGTACCGACATGACTACTCATGTTATGCTACCATAATGGCGACTCTTGATAATCGTCAGTGTAATATTTTGTTAGAACTGATAGCGTTTTCATTTTAAGTTTGTTCCATACTATTGTTTATTTATGTATTTAGGTATGTTGTTCCCTTCTTACTGCAGTAATATTCTTCCATAATTACTAAACTTAACATCAGTATTTTATATTGCAGTCTTCTTTCAAACTTGTTACAAAGGAACAAGCAAAGTGCACATCAAACACGGTGACAATATTGTTCTATGTGTTACAGAATCGAACAAAGGCCACTTCGGTCCGGTGCACTGCGTCCGGTGGTCGCCGGACGGGGAGCTGTACGCGACGGGGTCGGAGGACGGCACGGTCCGGCTGTGGCAGGCCGTGCCGGGCCGGGTGTACGGGCTGTGGCGCCGGACCAACGAACACACGCCCGTACTCAACGGGTTCAAGGAGGTCGCGGCCAACTGATATCACTGTGGCTACCAAACGGTATGTGATTTCTTAAATTGTTTTTTTTTTGTTGATTTCACTGTTCCCCAAAAAAGGTCAGTGATCAAAAGTCAACTTACACTAATCTGTCAATAAAAAATGAATAAGTAAATGATTAAAATTATTTATGACATGTATCTTGATGAGTTGGCGTGTAAAACTGTAAAATTTTCACTCGTACTTTGAAGTTGCAAGCGCGAGTGAAAGCATCATCGGAAATTTTAAACTTCCACATTGTCAGGAACATGAACATCTTTGTTATAGCACAGACCATGCAACTGATATTCTCCATGAATCATTTGCATTCGAAAATCAAACACTAGCTGACACTCTACCAGTGAGGCAGTTACAGAGTTAAAAGTCCCATAATTTCTTTGTTCCAGGGTCAAGGTGCAGTGACAGTGCAATCAAAATTGTTCACTTGGTGGCAACACTGTGTTGTGGTGTAATTGTCACCAGGCCATGTGTATAATGAACTTAAAGGGGGACTAGCCTGAAAAAATCAAGACTTTTTAAGTATTCAAGGTAAATTTTAAGAGTTTGTGTTGTTTATTTTTTTTTTGCAACACTAATTTTTTATACTCAGACCTAATGTATTTATTGTAAAAAGGAAACTAAATAGACTTGATATGCAACAAAATAAAGTGATTTGTAAATATTTTAAGACTTTGATTTTTATTTACATGTGTCATTAAAATCCTGTATACGTCAGGAAAAGTATTATTGGGTTTTTTATTTCCACAAATAACGTGGAGTTGAGTAACAAAGTATTTATAACCGGCATGTGCCAGTGTGTACACTGTACAGTAGTATGAATGTGGAAGTATCCAAAAGTACGTATGTGGATTCGGTCTTCTTCTTTTGGACTCATAATTCAGTTAGAATGTATGATTGAAATGGTGAACGAAAGATGATAAAAAATAGAGTAGTTTTTTTGAGGGGTCTCGGGGTCATCCTATGGCTTCTCGCGCCCGGGTGAGGCGAGACGGAGTGTCGACTCTTACGACTAAAAAACCACCCCTTTCCTACTCCAGCACTTCGAGCCGGAGTCCCGGCAACCCGTTAAGCCCTCCGCGGCTCCGGCATCGGCCCTATTGGCCAAAGAAATAAGTATAGTGCTGGCCTTCCACGGGCCTCGTGGCACTGGAGATCGTCTCCTGATCCCCGACACCCGGAGTCTCTCGCGACGGCAGGGGCGTGAGGAAGTTCGTTACCTCACGGGCCCCGCCTCCTCCTTAGCTAGCATGACAGCTTCGCAGAAGGAGGAGACTGCATCCCAGTACCACTTGGGCACTTACTCCGTACCATGGTCTGAACCAGAGCCAGACACGAGAGGTCGCCGTCGCCGTCCTTACGCTGTTCTTGGAGTGAATAACGTAGTAAGAGGTTATAAAATAGGTAGACGTAGATTTTAAAACGCAGGCCAACTAACTCTTTTCTGACCCATTCCAGTATTCGATTTTGAATTTTATTGTGCTTTTAAATAAAGTCGTAAATCCAATGACAAAATTACCAGATAGTAATAGTTTGGCTAGCTGGCGTCTGTTTCAATTTCATCACTACACGGAGATCGGTAAATCTCGGCCCTAACAGACAAAAGGGGACTTTTTTAAGGACATTAAACAGGTAAGGTATTCTATTCATGGACTAGCTTTTGCCCGCGGCTCTGCTCTGCTCTTGGTGTGCGCTGGGTCAGCAGAGCATTTACTGAGATTATTGAAAAAATATCTCATTATTATCATACTTCGCAAAATTGAATACACGCCCAAATTTGATGCTCGAGTACACCACATGCGCGAGCGCGCTCGAGCAGCGGCGCGCCTCTGCGTGCCGCTCGCGCCAGTCAGTGTTGCCGCAGTGAGGAAACCGTTCTGATGCCTACGTCATAGTCATACCTATATGACTATCACCCTACGAACATGGACGAAGAAAAGTTGATCGGTTTAGTGCACTGTTTTAAACTGTCAAACACCAAGCGGTCACCGGTGACCGCGACCTATTGTTCTTTAATTGTGTCTATAAAACCGGTACTCGACAAGTTAATGTTTGTACAATATATCAAGTTCAATATGCAGCGATCGGACGTTAAAAGGAAACACTTGCACATCCAACTTTAATTCACATACCCCAAAATTGTAGTAACTGAAAATGACTGCGTTATCTTAATTAAGTAGGTACTTATACTTAAAGAAAAAGATTGTTAAACAAAAAATTTTGACTATCAATAAATGATAATTATGTAGGTACCTAAATTATGAGTTTTATTACTAACCTCAAACATATAGTGAGTCATTCTTCAACAGAAATTCGTATTTTGTTTTGGATGATTACGCGGGCGTAGTAAATTAAAAAATTTTTTTTCGAACTTTAACTGATAATAGTCATTAAACCGAACACTTTACAATGACAACCCAGACCATATTTAACAGATATGGTTCGCTCATTGTCGAGCATGCCACCTGCTTGCTCGAGCAGTAAAAAGTTTGGTCGACCCTGCGCGGGCATTTTGCAATTCGGTCTGCGCTGACCCTTAAGGAGTTGGGGGAAAAGTTAGCAAAAAAAAAAAAAAACGCTATTATTAAATAGTCCACATACCAATTTTTTGCTTTCTACCTTGAAAATTGCGTAATGCTCCCAAACTTTCACCCCCATTTTAGGGAAATGGGGGATTAAAGAGAGATAAAAAGTAGCCTATGAATGAATAATAAGTGACAGTCGCCGCGCAGGTCGCGGAATGCTGCTCATGAATATGAGCATCTAGGATGGCTTGTTAATGGCAAACTATTCGAGTTCCTCGTCAAACAGTTACGTGATTATGCCGAAAACATAATAATTAATTTAGTAAGTATGTCTCACAAAGTCAAAGTCAAGTCAAAATTATTTATTTCAATTAGACCAGGATGGCACTTTTGAACGTCAAACAACAAACAATTTTATGTGAAGCTAGTACGACACGTCACGAAAGTTAATATACCTAAACATAAATGTAGAAGATGTAGTAACAGTTACTTCCATACATTTAACTATCTCCACTTAAAAAATATACGTTAATTCCTTGCTTCGTTTTGTCGTCGAAGATGGACAAACAAACATACACACGAATACGAATACAAACAATACGAAAAAAATTGTATTTATTTTTGTTGGCGTGATATTTTCATTTTCATTGCAAAGAGGTCGACAGCAGTCTAAATATCTGTTATAAGAGTCGAAACAAATGTTAGGAGGATTTCTTGACTATTTTTAATTTAAATATTTGGAATCTCCGGAGTTCTATCAAAAAGCTAATAACGTAGGGTTGAATAATGATAATTACGATATTTTTTTGAATACGTAGGTTTGAATGAATGTGGGCCGGATTTACCATGGAAGTTTGCCGGTCTCCTTTACATCTACCCCTTTTTTACTTCTTACTTACGTTGTTAAAGAAACACATACATATGTGGGTAAGGTACGAAATGATGAGGAAATTTTATTTAGTCAACTTTTCAACAATAAAAAAAAAATGAATAAAACGACATTATAAATAAAAAATATTTTATATTCAATTTTCGTTGTCTAGGTGAGATTTCATATCGTAGAACTTAAAATAATTACAACTAAAGAACGTGTTACACTTATTAATAATTAATTATTCCAATATATTACAAAATAATTTACAAGAACCTATATAATCCTAGGCACAACTAGGCAGTGAATATAGTGAGCTAGACACATACAAGTATTAAAATTATTGGAGACTAAAACTTTTGGCCTCAGCTTTTCTCCCCAAAAACGGGGAGTCTGGTTAAATAATATTAGTATGGTAACATCGGTACATTGGATGGTATGATGGTTATTCTATAATACATTTGATATAACATTAGATGTTTTTTAACTGATTTTGAATTCTATGAACAGGATGAAGGCTAAAGAAATAATTGAAAATTTTAATAGGGATTTTCTGTCTACTTCTACGAGACAAAGTATTTTGAACTCTATTGCAGTGAAGCAAAGCAGCAAGTGCTTATGGTGAATTCAATTTGTTATTGCGTTTGCGTTATTGCGTACTATTATTGAATTAATCTAATGTTATTTCTAATGCAGTGTAGTTATAGTACTGTTAGTAGCGTGTCGCTAAACATCACTGCATCTATTTAAAGCTCATGATGGCCGTAACATTAATTATTTGTGAAACATTTGCATACGAAAGAAATAAAGACCACTATATGATCTATAATAGAAATAACTTACAACCTAATAGGCCAGAGAGAATTCAGGCCATGAGCAGAAATATTAGCATGCACGTCATGCGTTGTATTCCTAAGATTTTCCACATACAAGTTGTTAAAAATACCATAAAAAAACAGACAAATTCACTCATTCTTTCTTCAAAATAACACTCTAAACAATATCACGAGTTTAGAAAACGAATGAATACCATTAAATAAGCATCGACAACATTCATAATTTAAAAAAAAAAATATTTTTCGCAGAAAATATCGATGTCACACAACACTACTGAATTTTAGAAAATAGAACTTATTTTTACCATTTTCTAATCTACAGCGTTTGTACATTTGTTCCATTGTCGGACCTTATAGCTTTAGTTCGGCTACAGACGTCCATTTCGGATTTACCGACGTACTCAGTCATTTAATGGCTACTTAACCCAGTCCTTCGCAATAGGGTAGTAGACAAAATGTAATTAGTCCGTCAGTTAGACAAGGAAAAAATATTAGACACATATTTTTTTAGTCCGTCGTATAAGAAAACAACGGAGTTAAGTTTAGAAGATATAATATAACGGAGTTAAGTTTAGGAGTGGGAGGTCGTTACGTCACGCTACCCTATATTAAATCGTGACGTCACACGATATTTCAAATCAATATATCATCGAAAGTATTTAATTTTGTAAGAAAAAGAAAAAATACGTGTCTAATGTTTTAAAATAATCTACCAGACGGACATAGTATACCTACTACTCTATTGTCCAATTTTTTTACTAAGGAATAGTTTAAGTAACCATTGAATATCTCCGAGTACAGCAGTTAACTAGTAATGGTCTTATAGAATACTTAAACTAAATTCATAACAAAGTAATTATAAATGAGACAAGACATCAGTCAAATATATGAATACTTGGATACGTATAGTATGGTGACTATTATTTCAATGTACTGGTAAACTTGTGGTAACTCTGTTCTAAATTGACCTTGAAATTACCCAAGAGATTGTCTAATATTTGCTTTTATTCCTTAAGTTTTAGGATTGAACGAGCGCGTATTGCGCTTCAAACATTTTTAGGTTGGTCAATCTCATTTTCTTAAATTATTAGCTTCACCAAAACCCTTGCTCTGTTAAATGTAAGCTGTTCTATCAATAAAATAACACAATCATTTATTTTTTCTCTTTCTCTCATCTAAGAGCATTCATTATCAAAAGGTATAAACGCGAATACAAATTGAATACAAAAAACAATGCATGGGGATGACATTAACAAACGTCAACTTTGACGTTAGCTTATGTCAAATCTTATGCCTTTGCAGGAGTTTTAAGTCTTTTGAACTATTATTGGCAAATCAGCGTAACATTATACAGAGCTAGGCATTACAAGGGCGATCACTTGGCGACGAATGGTGAAAGGTCAGGGAAGTTGAAGTTGAGATGGGGTCGTCTGGCGGGGCGCGGTGCATGCGCAGTAGAGCTGGCCCCGCACTGCGCGGTACATACATCGTCCCGTTGTACAGCCTCACGCGGCCACTCGCGGTGTAATTGAGCACAGTCTGTTATACGTAGAGATGCGCATTGAGCCTGAAAAGAGCAAATTGATTAGTGGATTTTTTAAGTGGGTTGTTTAGTTGACGGAAGGTAAATATAGTTGAGTTTCTCGATTTTACTAAGCGTAGATTGTATTCATGTACTGAGAGCAGTGCATAGAACTGCAGGTTCAAAAACATAGCATGTCCAAAAATTGCATAAAAAAATAATTGAATTGTAATTTCAGATTTAACTACAAAACACTATTTTGAGGTGTGTTACTGGAGGCCCAATCTTCCCTCCTCTCAGTGCACTCCATTTCTTATCATCAAATCCCCTATTACTAAAAAACCGTAAACGCACTCGCAACTACGGTGTCGATGGGCAGTACCGATTGCTTAGCGTCAAGTAATCCATGAAACTATAGCTTTAGTCGAATAGTAGCAGCTTAGTATTTAGTAGGAGCTGCTAAAGTCGATTTACAAAACTGTTAAAAAATCTATGAACAATAATGAATTTAAACTCACCCCTTCCACAGTACATATGCACGACGTGCAAGGAGATGGGAAGGCAGACTCTCCGACGGCGACAGATCTGCCCGCGATGAGACAGCCCTGTGCAGAGCTCTCGCGCCACGCTGACAGGTCCAGTTGCGGTAATGATGCACAGGATACACGAGGGTTCCTGTGTAAAAGAGACATAGATTAGAATTAGGTTGATACTAGCTGTTGCCCGTGACTTCGTCCGCGTAGAACATGATTCCTGTTTTATCCGATAAGCATTTAATCGGGTTAAAAGTACCTGATCACCAAAGTCAGCCCATAAGGGTATGATAAAATTTGATAAACAGACCCTGAAAGTGAGTTTCATAAAATCTAGTTTCAGCGTAATTGACGGACAACCATCCAAACAAAGAACAATTGAATATTAAGAAAAAGATTTTTTAGATAGAAAAAATGAAAGAAGACTTTTTGGTGGTGAGTAACAAACGTGTTCAACTTTAAATAGACCTTTCAGTACTACTAAAGCATATAAAATATTAGGCTAGACAGAATCGGATGAGCCAGAACAGTCCAAAAACAGACCCTCTAATCACTCTAGAGTGAGAAGAGGGAAAGAGAAAGAGAGAAAGAGAGACAGAGAGAGATAGAAACAGTTTTAGTTTTAGTAGAAAATAGGTCAATTGACAATGCCCTGACTATTGTCGTGTTGGATCACGTTTGTGTATTCTCTTTGAAAAGACGTACTTATTGGCTATGAATCTTTAACAGTAACATATTGTTATACTTACAAGAAGTTGCTCGGTAGGTCGAAGGCAGCCCTCTGTATGTCTCCGGGATGGTCGAAGTTGTCACACATAAGTTTGGACATCGTGGTCTTCCTAATTTCTGCCAACTGCTGTTCCGTGAAACGAGCTGCCGGGTTGTCGTTCTCATACCTGAAAAATCGAAGTATAATATTAATTATTTTACCAGCTTTCTTTGTTAATAATGATTCATGATGCTTCGTGTTTGTCAGGTTCGAATTCAGAGCTAGAATTTTTATTGGTACTATTCGAGTTTCAGCGCTCACATAGGGCTAGAATTGTGACCAATGTACGGTATTTGGGTTTTTCTGCTATTATACCCTAAACACGACTAAAACTATGTGTTTTACATTTAATATGGGCAAGGTTTTGTTTGTTTAAAGCCCTTTCTTCAAGGGGGGCCTGAAGAAAGGGCTTTATTCTTGTCGAGTTGTTAATACATCTTTAGTAGATTTATCGGTAAAAATAATCAAAATATACACTTACCAATATCTATCGCACTTCCTAAGCTGTCTGAACTGAATGGCAATGATGCAGGCGAAGGTAGGTCCAACCAGACCTCCTTGTAGGGGTCTTTCGCTCATACCACCAGGGAATAGATCGATGTCATCCACAGTCGCGTAGATGCGCTTGAATCTGAAAAAATATGAAAATGAAGATTAGTTATGTGTAGTAGTCGTATGAGGGAAACAGAAAGGGCCCTGAATGTTTTGGGTATAAATTATAATGGTTTGATTATTTTGGGGAATATTAGACAAAGGAACAAGGGGTAATGTTCTGAATCCACTTTATTGCTCGACATTTGTATTTAACTGTCGAATTTAAATTCTTCTTTTGTTGATATCTTGCTCAAATTACTATCATGAAAGATTTAGATTTTTGTCTGTGTTAGGGATGTATATTTTTTGTACTAACCTAGCAATAACTTCATCGGGGATTTCTCTAGCCAAATCTTCGAAGGTAGTCGCTCTCTTCAAGTTACAAAGCGCTCTGTAGTTGTTGTAGCTCGGAATACCGTGGTCTCTTGATCTTTGGATGTTGAGGGCAATCAGATCGACGCCAGAGAAGGGAATACGACGGTCCTCAAACAGATGGTTGGTGACTTCACCAGTGATGAACTGGTCGAGGGTTTCCATGGGAGTGGAGGCAAGACCTCGCATCAGCTCGTCTACCATTGGTGGGTGCTGAAATAAAAACATATGTTCATTAGTCCATTTGATCCCTATTTTTCCTCTGGAATTCCACCCAATAACAACTTGCTTGAGTCTTTGAACACAGGTTTTGAAAAGAAAAATAACACCATAAATCAAGTACAGTGAAGCTTTTTTGGCTTGATCTACAGACTTGGCTTGCGTAGTGTTTCACTGTATGCGTGAGGTTGCCGGACCCCAGTCCCTTTTATCCCCTAAGGTTAGTAATCCTTCTGGAGCGTGTGTCCATGTGCGGTGCCGATTGGTTACCATCAGGTGATAAATCTGCTCGATTGCCGCCCTAACCCACAAAAAATGTCGCGGAGAACCTAACAGGTAACCGGGGCTCCGGCTCAACGTGCAGGAGAAGGAACGAGGTGGTTTTTAGTCAGTAAGAGTCTGACACTCCCTCCCGCCTCACCCTAGGCGGGAGCAGTCATTCGATGATTTTCCCCCCTTAAAAAAAAACCACAAAAAATGTTAAAAGGTCTACTTACAGACATGAACATATCAGGCCTGAAGAAGCCATCTCGGAGTAAGATCGGTGGCTCCACAGGTTGGAAGCTTGGCGACAGTCGAGGAAGGTGAGGACGTAACAGTGAGTGACCGAAACGGAATGCAGCTGTTGCGAATTCTGTCACTATAGCTGGGTTGCAGGTCGGGGAGTATTCTTTGTAGTAGCCTGGAAGAAGAAAATAGTTTTTAAAGGGTGTATGGTAAACTGCAGTTTTCGGTAAGTGATATTTTATTATAAGGAGCAGACCTCTGCGGATGGTGAGGATAGTTCTTTATCTTCTTCTTTTGAACTTAAGGTGGCATAAGATATGGACATATGATGATTTTTTTTAGCGGGGATAATCATTGAATGATTTTTCCCGAAAACCTAACGATTTATCGGGGCTCCGGCTTGACGTGCAGGAGAAGGAACGGGGTTGTTTTAAGTCAGTAAGAGTCTAACACTTCCTCCCGCCTCACCCAGGCGGGAGCAGTCATTCGAAGATTTTCCCCGCATAAAAAAAGGGTTAAGATTGATGTGGTGTTTTTGCATCCCAATTGTTTATCTGATCCGTAAAGGCAATAAGGCGGTTTAATCCTTTATGTAATACCTTACAACCTTACAGTGATGTTGTGTGAGGAAAAAAATATATACACGGTCGAATTGAGAACCTCCTCCTTTTCTGTCGTCGGTTAAAAAACTGATAATATAATAATATAAAATAATTTACTATTATAGTATTGTTATTTAGTAATATTGGTCATCTATACTATTTAATGTAGGTATCTTTTATAATTAATATTATACCTATATATACGGATATATGTATGTATTTACAGTTATGTATAATTAAGAATGTATTAATATAGATTTATTCTGTGTCACATAAATTGAAATATAATACCTATTATACCTACTGTTGCACATCTCTGCATCACCCCATGGTTGACTGTTAGAGAATGCCACCCAGCATTAAGTCCGCTACCGTATGTTATATACAGAAGTGTAAATAAAATAAAATAATAATAGACACTTATTTACCTGAAGGCAACAATTTAAGGCCGTACAAATTAACAGCGTTCCACGAGAGCAATCTGGGCAGGAACTCGTTGTAGATGACGTGCGTGAAGGTGGCGGCGACGATACGTCGCGTGTGTTCGAACAGTTGGTCGGCGTCCCAGTGCGGGTTGACGCCGCGGAGACCTTCCACGATACGGTTGTGTTCGCGGAGGAAGATCGTGTGGATCGCTGTCAAACCTGGCTGCTCTGATGCTCGTCCGTCACCTAGGGTAAGGTTTTTGTCATGAGTTATAACAAAAAATATTATTATTGGCGATTATTGGCTTGCGTTGTGTTTCATCGTGTGACTGAGGGTACCGAAGACCTAATAACCCCAATCTCCGATTTCCCAAAAATCCTTAAATTCCTAATCCCAAAATGGCCGGTAACGCATTTGTAAAGCCTCTGGTGTTTTGAGTGTCCATGGGCGGCGCTGTGATTGCTATCACCATCAGGTGATCCATCTGCTCGTTTACCGGCTTTTTAGATAAAAAAGTACACAATTGGGTACTTGCCAACTAGTCAAATTCAATACTTTTTTCGAACTGTCAAAAACGATAATTTTCTATGAATTTTGTTCGAGATTTTGTATTGTATTGTGACGTCACGTTTTTTTAGCGTCAAACAGCATACATAATTCTTAAAAAATTTCTGGATAAATACGAAAATTAAGTAGGTCATAAAATCAATGAGTGTGATTATTTTTTTATATTTTATTGTATTAAACAATTGAAATTATTTTTGATTAAGGAAAATACCCAATTATGGCGTCCGCATTAGTAATGTTCATTGGGGTGCATTAATGGATATTTGGCAGAAATATTTTAGAAGTCACAAGACATTTGAGCGTTGGAATTTATTTCAGTTGTGCTCTATACAGTTCAGTCCTCTAAAGATTGCGGTTAGCGGTTGTACGGTAACAAATAAATCAGGATTCCCCAGAATCAAGACTACTTCTGCATACAACTACTTCTTCTTTAATGTAATCCAGTTTCAATTTACCAGCAATAAAGCAGAATCCGCTAGGGGCTTTGCACTCAGGATGGTTGTCACTTCTGGGCAGCAGTTCTCTTCCATTGGCAGGGTTGGTGGTAGCGTTCAGTCTTCCGTTGAAACCGCGCAGTTTGCGGACGATGCAAGGGTTCTCACCGTAGATTACTGAGGCGTCGATGAAGGCTGTGTTTTGGTTCACTTGTTCACGAGGACCTGAAGAGAAAAGACGTAGTTTTAAAAGGACTCTGTTTAAAAAATATCCCAATAAATGCATTATTATAATATGACTGGTAAGACATCCAATTTTTATTGTGCCAAACACACATTTAAAAACATTTGCCTGTCCCAATAATCGAACCTGGCCCCTTGTACTCAGCAGTTACAATTTCATCTACCTGTCCTGATATTGCTGCCTCGTTGGCAGAGTGGTCGCAAGTGCGACTGCCGGGTACTACTGGGTTTTTAAAAAAAATCTCAGTAGTAGCACGGAGTCTGGAATTGTGCCCGGTATATGGCAATAGGCTCACCCCCTATTTCATGGGACCCATAACATAAATAGTGAAAAGTAGGTGTTACATTGTACAGTGGTATAATGTGCACCTCTGCCTACCCCTTCGGGGATAAAAGGCGTGATGTTATGTTATGTCCTGATATTGAACTTGACTCTTTGTGTACTGGCTGACAGTATTCACACTTGTGAATACTTAACCAATGGGACAGAAGACAACGGTTTAAAGTTTCGACAGACAATGGAATCTACTCACCAAGTTGTTGTTGACCAGGCAAACTCCTCATGAAGGGGAAGCAGAGCCTCTCTCCAGACGTAACGTTCACTTCAGGGTAGTAGTGGTCGCCGCGTGGGACGGGGAACGGATTGCACTCGGGGTGCACCGTGCGGGGGGAGTCACAGGAACGACAGTCGGGGATAGATTCGTGGAAACCTGTGGAAAAAAATGACATAAAGGTTCAAACGATCAGAAGTTTTTCTTAAGCCTTTGACTGCTGACAGAAAACTGTTGAAGGCAAATCCTCCGCTAAACTAGGTCACCAGTGACCTACGCGGCGGTTGTCGTGTTAATAGGACAAAGCCGCCATAGCTTCCCAAAACCATTGCAAGTCCTGTAAGTCAGTATGCACGGTGGATACAAATATAAATAAACCAAAATATGTAAGTCCAACTTGTCCCAGGGACAGGTATAACTGTCTTGGATCCCGAAATAAATTAAATCAGAATATGAAATAACTAATAATACAGAAACTTTTTGGGATTCGATTTCATAAAACTTTGTTGTTATAACAATATTAGAAGAAAGTTAATCCTCACCTTTGTGGATGGGCGTCATAGTAAGTTCGTGATCGAGGAACTGAGCGAACTGCATAGTCATGAGTGTGTATCGAGTGTGCAGGTTGGAGATGTCAGGGTGGATCACTGTCGACACTACGCGAGGGGACGGCAGGGGCGTGCCTGTTACCGAGTTGATGCGGGGACGACTTACACCTGGAGAAGAAGAATAACACATTAGCAAGATCATCAGAAATCTTCATGTTTGTGATCTGTAGAGGGCGCTGAAGAAGATTTTTTTTCTCTGTCCTTTAAGGTTATTTTTTTTTTGATCTCTTTGACTGTATTTTAGTGTTACATTGTTCTCGCACAACCCAAACAACAAAACTATGTAACTAGATAATTGTATTGTATTGTAAATCCGATTGAAAAAGAGAAACCTGTGGAGTTTCTTGCTCGTTCTTCTCCATAGGAATCTACACATTGGAATGAGCAAAAAGCGTCACTTTTATTTTTTTTCTGTTGACGTTCAAAAGTGCCTTTCTGGTCTAATTGAAATAAATGATTTTGACTTTGACTTTAGGCTATGACCTCCAAATTATAGTACTTGCCTGTCAAAAAGGTAACCTGTCAAAAGTCTGATGGATTTACACTATCTAATATTACTGATACTTTGATAACTAGGAACCTTCTAAAATATAGTCTTAGAAGAAGCTTTAAAATCCACTCACCATCTTCATAAACAGGTGGCAGCAACCTGGCGAACGTTGTCAATCCTTTACCCAAGTTAGGGTTCCTCAAGTTGTTACAATACCCAGTGTATGTTCTGAAAGGATTGTCTGCTTCGCATGAACCTTTGTCATCGCACTGTGGTTCAATGATGGGTCCGGACTGGTCATTGCCAAGGAAACCGCTGATGTCTACCGATTGTAATGAGTCTACGAAGTCTGTGGTACCGAAACCAAGGGAGTCATCGAAGACTTGACGTTTGCGACGGTGGCTGGAAAGAATAGAAAGAATAATCATATATAGCTCGTAAGTGTGGGAGAGCCATGCTTCGTCACGAATGAGCCGGCTCGACTGGAGTGATACCACGGCCTCACAGAAAACCGACGTGAAGCAACGCTTGCGTTATGAGTGAGGTTACCGGAGGCCCATTTACCCTCCCCTTCCCCAATCTCGCCAATTTCTGAATCCCTAACGATCCTCATACTCCTAATCCCCAAAAGGCCGGTAACGCACTTGTAACGCATATGATGTTCCAGGTATCCACGAGCGACGCTGACTGCTTACCATCAGGTGATCCGTCTGCTCGTTTACCGGCTTATGCCATAAAAAAGCTTAAGGATATTTTTAATTAAGGATAACTTAATGAATATTCAGTGGCCAGTAGATCAACCTACTTCAAACTATAATTTTTTTATTGGACTTTCGACTATTTATCAACACAATAAAGTTGAAAATCTATAAAATGCATGTATACTAACTTGGTGCCAATAGTGTTTATAAGTTCGTTAGTAGCGAACTCAAGGAACAGTGAAGTGTTGGCCAGTTTGAGAGCATATTTGTTAGCCTTGGAGAAGGAAGCTGCTGTACCAACTGGAGATTTGGGGTCGGCTCCTCCACCTGGAATACATACAATAAAAATACTGATGAAAGAAGAAAATAAAGAAAAATAGTTTATTTGCACCGTAACACACGCAAAGCACAAATAATAAATCTGACTACACGGTTTTTTTTTTTTTTTTTTTTTTAAGGGGGGAAAATCATCGAATGACTGCTCCCGCCTGGGTGAGGCGGAAGGGAGTGTCAGACTCTTACTGACTAAAAAACCACCCCGTTCCTTCTCCTGCACGTCGAGCCGGAGCCCGGTTACCCGTTAGGTTCTCCGCGACTCCGAATCGGCATCGGCCCTATTGGGCCCATCTGTGGTGGTCTGATGGCTCTTTGAGGCGCGCGCGGAACGCGACGCGCCGTACGCTCGGGTCTGTTTCTGGTCGGACGGGGAGCCACCCATGCTCGCCGTCCGCAGGCCCGCGCTTACGGTGGCCGGAGATCGTCCCGCGATCCCCGACGCCCGGTGTGTCCTTCGCGATGGCTGGGTCGCGAGGAGGCAGCGCTTCGCTGCCTCACGCGTCCCGCCTCCTCCTTAGCTAGCATGACTGCTTCGCAAAAGGAGGAGACGGCATCCCAGTCCCCCTCGCTCCGCATCATGGCCTGCACTAGGCCCGGACGCGAGAGGTCGCCATCGCCGATCACTTCCCTGAGGGCACGGCGGTGCTCAGCCCACGCAGGGCATTCCGCTACGGTGTGTTCCACCGTGTCCTCAAGGCGATCCTCGCAGTGATGACACCCGGGCGTTTCCTCCCGCCCCATCAGACACAGGTACCTCCCGAAACTTCCATGTCCGGTGAGGACCTGCGTCAGGCGGTAGGTGAGGACGCCGTAGCGTCTCTCAAGCCACTCCTCAAAGAGGGGACTTACCGCTGCAATGGCAGCGAGCCCATGACTACACGGTTGGGGCGGTGGCTGGGCAACTGGCTGCCGCGCAACGTGTCGCGGGTTCGATTCCCGTACGGAAAAACCCTTTGTGTAATCTACAGATTGTTGTATGACACTCAGACCCTGAATAACAATCTGTCTGTCTACAACAATGTGTCATGTGTATGTGATATTGTAAGTTTGTAAAGGCACCCACGACACAGGAGAAAATCCTAGTGTGGGACAAATATAAAAAAAAAGAATAACTTAAGGTCTGATTACTTCATTTTATCATCATAGTCAAAAGTCCCGAGTCCGTGACAGTCCCCCACTATCCCAAGGGCCAATAAAGACCGTTTGATAAAATAATACTTGAGGTTTAACTTACGTGCTTCCCACAACATGTATTCAAGTTTCTTCCTATCAGCCATCTCTTGCTTAGCCTTCTCTAAAGCAGTAGCGAGCATGTCTTGTGATAATCTTTCCGCAGCCTTGGCTCCGCTCTCATCTCTCCACGCAGATAGTTCCAGACGGTTGTGTTGTGAGCAGTGTTGGGCTGCGTTACTGGAAGAAGATAATAGCTATTTTTATTGATGCCCCTGAATCGATATTTCTCATTAATTTTTTTTCTCTGAAGGGGTAGGGAAGAGGTGCACATTATGGCACTTAATGCCACTGTACAATGTAACATCCGCTTTTTACTATTTATGTTATGAGTCCCATGTGATACGGGGTGAGCCTATTGCCATAAACCGGGCACAATTCCAGACTCCGTGCTACTACTGAGACGGTATAAAAACACCAGTAATATTTTGTCCGACCCGTAAATCGAACCTGAGACCCATTGCTAAATTCGCACTTGCGACCACTCGGACTACGAGGCAGTCTTTGAAAATTGAGCCTTATACTAGAAGGTCTTTTTTTCAGATTGATTTTGTTTTGATTTTCTTTGATTCAGATTCGCTCATTAACAGATTGAATCAGTTCCAATCCAAGTCAATAGAGTTTAGTTTAACTCTGAAAGGGGGTGAATTTAAAAACACTTACAGGTAAGGATCCTCTCTCACGAAAGCTTTTGGTTGAATGGTAGACAGATAATCTTGGGCAGCGCAGAGGGTTCCGGCGAGAGACACTTTCCTAATGGCTCCAAGTTGATCAGGTGACAGTGATGATGGCGGTAAGTCGTTTTCATACCAGAATCTGCAACGGAAAGTATATTGAGTCTTTTGTCGTATATACTATCGTCTAACCAGAAATTGCGCCTGTTGCTTGATAGACCTTCTAAAAGCGCTTTTAGGACATTTTAGAATTTTAATAAAGGACACTTTTGGTTTACCTGTCACTCTTCTTCAAGTTGGCGAATTGCAGAGCTAAGACACAAGCAATGGTGGATCCTACTACAGCACCAGATGCTGGTTTCTCCATAGCACCTCCAATCATTAGCTCTACATCTTCAGGATTTCTGGAATAAGAATAATATTGACGATAAAGCAGTGTATGAAGTATATGGTACCATTTTCATAATTATAAGGTTTTTTGCAACGGGTATCTAGACCCGTCGAATGGCGAAAACTGAGCTCACGATGGGCATGGTATTTTTTTTTAAGGGAGAAAAATCATTGAATGACTGCTCCCGCCTGGGTGAGGTGGAAGGTAGTGTCAGACTCTTACTGACTAAAAACCACCCCGTTCCTTCTCCTGCACGTCGAGCCGGGGCCCCGGTTACCCGTTAGGTTCTCCGCGACATGGGCATGGTATAGAACTATATAGATACTTGGTATCTTGGTATCTTTGATTACACATATACAAAAGTTCACAAATATTTAAACTAAAAACTCACTTGTACATATCAGCCATCATTTCCTGCTGTGTTCTATCGAAGCCCATCTTGCTGAAGTCTCCGAAGGACTTGATGGTGGCCATAGGTTCACACATGCGTAGAGCTCGAAGGTATGAAGAGACTCCGTGGTCACGGGCTCTATTGAGGTCCCATTGAGCTGATGGTGGAAAGTGGGACACGTGCTGAGCGCTGGTGCGAACTAGGTGTTCTAAGGTAGTTGTGGTGTTGATCTGAAAATATGACAAGATGTTTATACTCTTTTGGGTCACGTATTATTTTTGAAATGGACATTTTTAAGAGGTGTGATCGAAAGAATGCAACTCGCGTTTGTTCGAGGCAATTAGAATCTTACCAGTTTCTGGTTCATCATAGCCTGGAAGATGGGCGCAACGGCGACCAGTTCAGAGTAGACACCAGCGCGGTTTGCGCTCGAGTATCCGCGCCAAAAGCCAAGAGATGTCAACTTCAGCTCTGCTTTTGCCATGCCAACCTAAAAGAGAGAATACACGAATGTTCACAAATAATATATTTTTCATCGTTTAATGACATCCTGAGTTATATTTTAAGTCGAAGTAATAGTTATGAATATCTTTTATTCAAAACTATTACGATAGATAGTAAATGCTAAGATATTTCGGTTTCTGGAAGACAGGAGATTTTTATCGATCTTTCCTAGAGGAATCTAATCTTGAAGAGGGTGAATGAATGAGGATATTATTTACATTCAAAAGAGTGTTTATGCTTTAGTTGAAACTTACCTCTCCCAAGAGAACCGGCAAGAATTCATTGTAAGTGATGTGCTGGATGATAGCTGCGACTGCTCTTCTGGTCTCCAAGTACAGTGTAGTGTCATCCCAGAAGGGATTCAGTGCGTACAGTTCTCCAGCGATACGGTTATGTTCTGACAGCAAAGTTTTGTACAAGGGTGCTGTGGGTGAACCATCTTTGCACCTAGAAAATGAAATATATATTATTAAAATGATGGTTAATTTGAAAAATTTGGGTTTTTTAATCTAAGATAATTTTCAAAATTACTAAACAGATATGAGTAAGTTTCTAGACAGCCAAGTGATGACCGTCTGCTTAATGAATTGGGTCAAACTTGAGGCAACATGATATGTATAATATATTTATGTAACGATTATACATTATAGCTACATTGTAACAATGTTCATCTTTGATATTTCCGATTGAATAGACTATAAACTGTTATACACTTCCTCTTCTCATTTACCATCTTAATTTAGTTTTATATAAGTGCTTTTTATGGCTGCAAAAACCGCAGTGTCGGCAACAAGCGTTGAGTTCATCTGTTTCCTGACAGGCGGCCTTCCCACAGTCATGATAATCGAATGCACCTCACATTCACGCACCTATCAACTCAATAGATTCCAATGCAAATATGTAAAATGATTGAAATCTCTATGTGCGAATGCAAATCATCTCAAGGTTATGTTATTTGCATACAATCCATTTTATGACGACACATAAGAATTCTATCATGTTTTGTCTTCAGGGCAGAAGCTCTTTGTGTGAATTTTATTGGAAATATTGAGCGGTATATTTGCAAGTGCTTTTGAAATCTGTTTAGCAATCGGACGTTAAGTGAAACGGGTAAATAAACTTTTTGAGGCGTAGATTTCGACAATCTGTTGTTTAGACATTTTTATTGATATTGCTATTTTAAACATTTAGAACTGTTTCGATTCTAACGATTTACGATTTGGCAAAACTAGTTTTGGTATTAAATAATTTTGCATAGTAAATACATGGTGGGTACGTGGGTAGTTTCTTTGTACGTCTTCGCAGCTGCGTCTTACATAATTCGTCAATTTTGACCGCTGTCTAAAAATTAAGTACATTCATAAGTTTCGTAATCTGTTATTGAATTTTGCGGTAAAGTATTTTAGCATATACCTATAAGATATATGTGTAAGATAGTATGTATTTATGTCAGGGAATTCTCTAACTTACTTAACAAGCATGTTAACTATCTATGGACAGTGTCAGATAATCTAGGCTTTTGTTTTGTTCTTTTTAGACAGCTTGTTTGTTGTGAATTTAGAATTATTGTTCATAGATATTATATACAGTTCGCTTTCCTGAGAAAAATAATGGCCGTCCTAGTGAAAAGGGCAAAATCTAACGTTAATGAAGTCCTAAGAACAGTTGATCTATGCGACTGGCCACGAGATTCTAAGATTGGTGCGTACCTTTTTGAATAATGTTGAAAAAATTAAACAATATTGATACAATAGTATAGTTAAATAGAGAGGACAATTTCAAGCCATGTAAGACAAAATTGATTGATTGACATTTTGTCATTGGCATAAAAGTGAAACTGTTATAGGCGCACCGTGTCACGCGTACTTGCATACTATGTCTTAACACGGATACGTTTGTAGGTCCAATATTAAAGACAATGCTTGTACAATCTATTCGATTGAATAGGTACAAAACTATGGGAATAATTCACACATTAGCCACAACTTCTATAATATCTACCATCGGTAATGTATGGGAATGGTTTCAATTATGCAATCTAATTACCGAGTTGTTTTCTTCCGTGTTTGTCTCACTCACGATTTTGATGGACCCATTTGAATAAGTATCAGAGATTGATTGCATCTGTATTGTGATTACATGTTGTTGATTCGTTGTCAATTTATTATAATAATTAGATTTATTATCGAAGACTTGAGTACCTATGTTATTAGGTACAAATAGAATATTCAAACTTTTAACTGTATTAAAAACTTCGAACTTTTTCGCTTTATTAATTATCATATTATAATTTACAAGCGCTCCGCCCCGGCTTCGCACGGGTGCAATATGCATGTATTATACATATAAACCTTTCTTAAGAATCAATCTATGTATTATAAAAACTACATCAAAATCCTGTGTCAAATTTTAAAGATATAAGCATACCTACATAGGGACAGACAGACGGCGGGTAGCGACTTTGTTTTATACTATGTAGTGATAGTGATTAGATACAAGACGTCCTATAACTTTCAGATCAGACAGCTGAAAATAACCTGCATCAATGTAAAAATAGTTAATATAATAAAACTTACTTGCGACACGAGTCCAGGTCAATTTTGCCAGCATCATATAGCCTCAGGGAACGGAGCTCCTTCTCCGAGTTGCCGTACAGAGAAGATCCGTCCAAGAATGATGTGGCCATGTTCATTTGTTCTCGGCGTTCTGTTGGAGAGAGAATAGATTAATGTTCAATACATACACACATACATAACATCACGCCTTTTATCCCCGAAGGGGTAGGCAGAGGTGCATATTACGGCACTTAATGGCACTGTTAAATGTAACACCCACTTTCCACTATTTATGTTATGAGTCCCTTGTAATATGGGTTACCCTATTGCCATATACCGGGCACAATTCTAGACTCTGTGCTACTACTGAGTATTTTTTAAAACCCAGTAATAGTTTGCCCGACCCGGGAATCGAACCTGAGACCCCTTGCCCGACAGTCGGACTTGCGACCACTCGGCCAATGAGGCAGTCATATTAATGACTGCCTCATTGGGAGTGAACATTAGTTCAATATGATCAAATAAATCGAGAATGTCACTCTTTGAGGGCTGTGGAAAACAAATGACAATCGCTTTCGCTTCACTTGAAATTGGATACCTACTAACATCCCAAAATAGAACTAGGTGGAAAGATTTGGAGGAGGCGTACACCAAATTGGTTGAAAAAGGCTTGAGGTGATGATCACTTGAATTACTAACGTTCAGTTTACTCTGGATAAGATCATAATACTCTAAGAAAAACTAATTGGGAAAAGACCAGGAGAAAGAAGAGAAAGAAATCTGTATGTAAGAGTAAGTAGCGACCTAAGATTTCATAGTCAGCCAATTTTTTTTGTGAAATAAGTATCAATCTACATAATAGGGTAGACGACTAATTTTTATTTTAATGTCCGTCTGATAGATTATTTAAAAACATTAGACACGTATTTTTTATTTTCTCACAGAAACGAATAGTTTCGAAGATATATTGATTTGAAATGTCGCGTGACGTCACTTCTCAGTACATTAATTTATACTAAGAAATGACGTTTTAGCCCCCACTCCTAAACTTTGATTCGTTTTATCTAAGTATTGTTTTATTATACGACAAAATAAAAAAATACGTGTCTAATATTTTTTCATTACCTAACTTACGGACTAATTATATTTTTAATTTTCATACCCTGTCATCATCCCCATTATATGCGTCTTATTTAACTTCGAATCATAACAGGTAGAGTAGGTACGCACGCAGTAACGTAGGCATAATAACATGGCAGCTATAGATAGTTGTCTTATTCAAGAGTTAATGAACTAGGAACAAAAATTCAGATAGGCCGTCGTAGCCTTGGACGCCGCCTTCCTTAAACAATTCGAGTGGCCAGTCAACATATATTTAACTTTTATTAAGCGTAATATTATGTCAACGTTACAAAATTTAGACAAGAAACATTCACTGGTTCACTGAAACCTGCTTGACAGACTTGTGACTTCCTAGTAAAGTGCAACATTTCAAACGAGCCGAGAGCCCGTCACCACGGTGTACGACGTTGCCTACAAAACTGATGCCGATGAATATTCATAAAACCACATACTATGTATTACGATATTTTATGACACGTGAAGACTTTCGACTAAGAAATTATTTACTACCTCAGATTTAATTTGGCCATTTTGTTTTTAAATATTGTGCGTCTGCCCTAGATTTTGCATTGATCTGCTTACCTTCTACTCAGTAGGTTGACCAACCACTGCTCTAACTGTGCAGTACAAATTATTATTTACGAATAACACATAGCTACAGCATATCTTTACCTATTACTAATTAATCGAAAACTAGTCAGAGTTACTCTTTTAACAATACTAACATCCTATATACAATTGCCACGTAATTCTATTTTCTTGACGATTAAATTATAAACAGGCTCTTGGAAAATCGATGGATTATTGATCAATAAATATTATGTTCATGATTTAAATGAGAATCGGGACTAGTAAAGTATGTAATTTAAATAATTTTGCATGTAAAGAGTTGTATTATTTATTTCTACATACCAAAGCCGCAGGAGTCGATGTTTCTGGTGGGTGCAGATCGAACGTATTCGCATGTCGCTCCATAGCAGTCCTGTGACAAAAGAAATAAGAGAATTAATATTTTAAGTTAACAATATGTTTAACCATTAACATATACCTAGTTAAGAATAAATAGGTAAATGAAGCAAAATATTTTATTTTTTGAGTCGACATTTAAATATTAAACTATGCAACCTTGAACTTATTTTCACTTAAACAAATGCAAATACAAATTAAAGGTTTGTAGGATGATTAACAAACAATACCAAAGTAGCTTCTCATGTAAAAATAAGTAAATATTTACAAACTTCAATCAGGTGTGAAATAATTAAGCATATTATTATAATTGTTTAATGTAGCCCTAGTGAGATATACCTACTTACAAAATAAATATTGACTAAGAAGTACAAAGATAAATTGTGACCAATACATAATATAAGTATTAAGGCACATTATGAATTAGAAGAGTTAATAAGAATGCCTCGTTGGCCAAATGGTCGCAAGTGCGACTCGGCAAGGGGTCTCGGGTTAAATTTCCGGCAATGTATTTATGAGATTTAAAAAAAATCTCAGTGGTAGCACGGAGTCTGAAATTGTGCCCGGTATATGGCAATAGGCTCACCCCCTATTACATGAGACTCATAACATAAATAGTGAAAAGTGGGTATTACATTGTACAGTGGCATTAAGTGCCATCATGTGTACTTGCCTACCCCTTCGGGGACAAAAGACGAGATGTTATGTTATGAATTAGAAATGGACGTAAGTTTTATTACTTTTTCTACATCGTCATACGAAAACAGACATTACTTGTTACTATGGAGACCAAATTCTCAAACTTCTATGTACTTACTAGTATCCAAGTGCTCAAAGTTGGTAGGATAATTTTATCGCTTGTATCAAGTAAGTATATTAACAAGAATTAGGCTGATCGGATTACGCTCGTCACAAATTATAGCTTTAATACAAACCAGTTACTTGACTGGGTCAGTCAGTGATTAAACTGATTACCCTGCAATGTTACTTAATTGAACTCCTTAGTTAAATGTAATTCTATTTGAATAGATAACGAGAATTATATTTAAACGAATGTGTAGTAATTTGAGGAAGAAAAATGTGCACCTGTTCTGGTGCTTTAGACACTTAAAAATGACCTGACAGAAGTGGTTAATTTATTGTCAGGAGATGCCTGTTAACCTATGGTATGCGGGAACGTATACGTATACGCGAGACACAATGTGTTTTCTATTGTGTATCATATGCACATAGAGGGAATAGGCAAACGTTTTCATATATCTCTAAGTGCATCTACCGAAATTATTCATTGATGCCGATAAAGCGAAATACATAGATAGGTCAAAGTCAAAGTCAAAGCATTTATTTCAATTACACCATAATTTGGTACTTTTGGAACGTCAACAAATGTAGTTGACTAATTTTATAATGCATTTCCTTTATTGAAGATGCGGATGCATTTAATAGATATAATTTAAATTGTTAATTAAGACAGAATAAATAAATTATGTATGTAGAGCTTTTTTAAATTATGAATGGACTGACTGTTGCATAACTGTCTATGTAGGTATCTTTATACGAACAATACTTTTTTAAGAAGAACGAATGTGTTAGTATGATATTATATATGTATAGCCTATTCGACTACCTAAGTATATAAGTATGTACTTAGTCTTACGATCAACATTAATAACTGATGTAAAATCTTTAGATTAGAATCGGTTTTTCATATAAGGTGCTTCTATTGTATGCATTTCTGTTAAAAATCTACATTAATTGAAACAGTGAATTTATTTCTGCAAATAAGCTACAAGGCAGCACTTTTACACGTCAATTTTATCACGCGAACGATGAGACTGACTCTAACTGACTACTCTGAGAAGTGAGAAGACATTTCCTTACTAACTACTCTGAGAAGAAAAAAAAAAGATTGATCCAAAGAATTAGGATAAGTTTTAAATTGGGGAATTAGATTAAACACACATAGGATTAAAATTCACGATATCATATTAAGATCTTTTACATTCTTTAACAAAGTCAATATTGAAAATCAATGCATTTATTACAATCAATCCTTAATTAGGCACCTTTGAAACGTCAAAATTGATCTGGCCGTCCGTCTGTTTGTCAGTGAAACTAGATGCTCGTACAAAAGTGTAGTTTTGAATTGAGAAAAACGAGCAAGACACTCATTCGTCACTCTTTAAATTTTTTTTTACAATGATACTTTATTTGACCGTTTGACTATTGAACATTATTTAACAGTTCTCGCCTGTTGTAAATAAACTTAAATTAATGATTATCATTATGACAATCTTCACATTTGCATTAATTACAACGAAACGGAAGTACTTAAGACAGTATCAAAACTTCCCACAAGCATTGTCAGAATGGTCATAAAAGAGTTTTTCTACAACACTCAGTTGTAGTGTTAAATACTCATTCATCTTTAGTTCCTCTGCCTTGTTAGTCAAGTGGTCGCAAGTGGTTCCAATACTACTAATGTCTCACCTTATAACAATAATTTACCAAAGCATTTCATTCAAAATTCATACAAAAGTAGTCTAGAAACAATTGAATTAAGGTCTATATTAAAAGTGAGTGAGAGAGGATACCATGTCCTCTTGGCTTCATCTGGTATCATAAGTTCGAGCAAAGTACCTTTATCAATATTCAGTTTCTATCGACCTTTATAATCCAAAAACCTTTGCATTAATTAAAGATTTTGACAGATACTTTATACCTCGAGTCCATTTTTTTTTAAATTCGAGTGGTCCTCGGTTAATCATTGTTACTTCCAATTTGCATAGCGTAGATTATGAAGATCGAAATCGTACCTCGTAGTCATCCTTGACTATAACCCTATTGTAAAAACTAATAAAACATTGCTATTCTTCTCTGTAGCATACTATATCTACCTTAAGTGAATAAACAGGTGTGAAACAGTTTTATGCATGAATTAACAGAGAAAGTTTAATCAGATAATTTTGAACCGATTTTAATTCACGAAGTAACTACATAACATATTACTTAAGTTCAGTGTGTATTACAGACTAATTAATATCGAGTACACGCAATCGCTTCCGTTACATATACATGATTCGATTTGATAATAAGCATCAAATATTAAAAAAGTATTAAGTAGTTTAGTAGTGAGAATTACCTGTTAAATAGTAATCATGTTGCCTAATTACTTCTTACAACAATTAAATAATAACTAACAGTAGATACATTCACAACTAAATAATCAGTTAAGTAACAAACTTATATTTGTCTAGGCTCATATTTTTGAATGACGTTAGCGTATTACCTATCTTTTCTTCTTGAAACAAACCGTGTTTTAATGCCATCGTCATCCCCCTTTTCCATTTATCAATTCGTCTAGAATTCTAACTGCACGTAACCTGAGTATTAACATCCAACAACAAGCATCCAATAAGAGTATTAAATTAATTATCTACGCAACAGCAACTACAAGACAATAGGCGCTGCCGTCCATCTTGTGACAATTAGAATAATTTCCTGTCCTATCTCTGTGACATGAAAAGTGAGCCTACTAGGAACTATGAGATCGCCTGCCATCGGTGTATTACTTCACCAGCTTTCACTACGACCGCTACATACGTAACCTTTCTACGACCTCGCGAACTATCACGAATGTTATGCAACAAGTGTTGTAAAAATTCTGTTGTTATTGTTCCGTTTTTTTGTGTGTTAAATATAGTTTTTTGAATATTCATCATTTGATTAAGATGTAAATTTTGTTTTGTGAGCTTAGAGGCCTAAGATATATCTATGGACTAAATAAAGTAGATACGGAGTTAGATAGTATTTATAATAATATTGCTAAGATTGTTTAGGATATAGAGGAAATGAGATCGAACACAATAGTCTTGATTGTTATATAACTTGAAGCAGATCTTCATTTGTAACCGAGGTTGGATGTATCATACAAAGCCAACTTATTTTGACCGCGTGAACTCAATACGCCGATCACGTGCATTGTTGGCAAGGTTAAAACAAAGTATTATCCTTGTCGGTCATTTGAAATAACTAAAATTGGCAAAAAGCTCAGGATTGTTGACGACTACGTACTAATAACAGGTTAAGATTCTAGTTTTTGTCCAATTACAAGCACGTGAATACAAAACGTGGGTGACCACTGATGTGAAATACTATACGACTTAAATATGATCCTTCGAAGATAAGACAAAAGCGTGAAAAATGAACTACATGAAGCAAATTTTCGCATTTAGAGAGTTCATAAGCACTAATTTAATAAAACATGGATGTTAAAACCCCTTTTGTAAATAAAAATGAAGAAGATTTTTGATTTATCGAAATTGATTAGGTGTTATCGAAGTGGCTGATTGATATAATGGCACTAGCAAATGATAGACACCCATTGCATGCATACGACATCAGTTCATTAGCAGAGTTTGTGCAAATGACAAGGACATTGCGAACTAAAGTTCACGAGTGGTAATAGAATCGCTATAATGACGCCCCCATAAGTTATTAACAATGTAATCAAGTTTAATTGGTTGATTCGCGGCCAAGTTCAAGATGGTAGTCTTTAAAAATCTGGTTGAGTATCAGACAGGTCAATGACAAGGGTTTCATGGCATAATGGAGTTATTTAGAAAAGCTTGTCTAATATTGATTTCTATGAAATGATAAAGATGATGATTGCGATCAAAATATATATCGTAGTCACGAAGATTCAATGAATTGACAGGCTCACAAACATCTTTAGAATATTGGGTTTCAAAACTATCTGTACCTAGATCATAAATGAATATATGTTGTATTTGACAATGCAATAAAATTTTTACTAAGTTCATTGAAGATTAATTTGATACTTCTACTAAGTAGAACCCTAAAATAGGAGGTTCACATCATTAGGCAGATGATTACGCGGACATTGAATGGGTGTCATGTTGCAGCATCATCCGTTCTTCTTAACAAAAAGCATGAGTCCGCTGGCCTTCGATACGTTGGACATAATGTGTGATTAACACTTAATATCGACTCACTACTGAATTTTTAGTCTCATGTCATCTGTTACTTTTAAGGTGTAATGTGCGGAAGGAAAATTCAGTCTAAGTAGGACTTGTATTTTGTAGCCGTTGTTCGAGTTGCATACATTACTAGAAAATGTTAACTTTTTGCTGGTATAGGTGAAAATGTAAATTTTCTTTTGCCATATAACAAACAACGTATTAATTATAATCCAAATTTTTTTTTATATTTTTGCCACGAGTTACGGCTTAAATCAGGCAAATTTTGTACATGAATTAAAAAGTCTGACTAGTCTGAGAGGATTCCACTGCACTGAATTTATTAAAACAGACACGAATCATTGAACCTTTCAAAATCTAGCTTGAATGCTATTATTAATAAATTGATGTGCTAATGTGTTCTTTTTTACGATTCTCACTCAAACCTTGACCCCTCAAAGTTTGTATAAACATTTGCGAAAAAACGAGATAGTTTTTGTTGCATTAAAGACTTTGAGAACATTTGTTAATATTTGTCTCTTAATATAATACGTGTTTCATTTTGCAAAATAGTTATCAGTACTTCTCGGTAAGAAACAACAAGATTATCGATTATTTTTTAAATGTCATATTACAGTTCAAGGAGTACCACAAGGTTGTATACTGTGCCCTTTGTTGTTTTAAAGTTCACTTACTTTGTTTCCGTTGGCTGTGCTGATGAGATCGTCCATGATAAGCTGTCCCCAGGCGGCCAGCATGCTGGTCACATAGTCATGGTCGGATGCTGAAGTCAGCTGAGCAGCTGCATGTACAGCGAGGGCAGGCTCCGGAAGGTATGGCGTTGAAAGTGGTTGTGAGACACCTTTAACAAAAAAAACATGTTTAATTCATTCATTCTATACTTAATGAACATACATTCTATATAAAGGGTTCGCAAATTAAAACTCTTCCTTCAACAATCTCAATGTTATCAACCTTAACAAGATAACGATAATTGCAAAACGGGTAATTACTATTGGAGGTAATGATCATTAATTTTGTAAATTATTTTCCACCTGCCAGGATCCTCACGGATGACCAGGTCCTTTCTAAATATCACTTAGACTTTAATATGAAATTGATTCGGGTTGATATTAATATTGATTAAAAATTAATAGGTACTTCTGCAAATGGATGAACATTATCAAGAATGGCTGTATCAAATGATGTAATTTATAAATATGTTAGGTTCGTTAATTTTGTTAAGGACTTAGCTTGCAAATTGGCAATTATTCTAAATATCCTAACTAGCATCTCATTCTTTAACTGTTGAGCAACAGCGAATTCATGTGTATACTTTAACAGGAATTTTAATAAGCAATTTAGGTAAACTATTTATGATGTATTTCTGTGTGTTTAGCAACCAGTTGCTACTTTGCTAGCCTTTACAAAGAGTCAGCTGAACTAATAAATAAAGCACATTTATAAAAAAACATAAAATTTATATTATTGTACTCAATTTACGTTGTTAAACAAGAAAATTTGGAATGATTAAACCGAAAAACAATACATTTCAAATAACTGAATAAAAAAAGTCAAATATCTTTAATTGTCTATATACGGTGAACATATTTAATTTATAAGAAAAAATATAGACAGCTTAATAATAACCTACATTCGTTGACCGATAACAACTAACAATTAAGTAATTTGTAAAACTTGTTAATGTATCGGCTCAATCGCTTGGAAATACTTAGTTCCTATTGTTCGTGATGCCTTCGCTTCCGCGTCTCGAAGGAGACAAATCACCCACATTTAATTAATGGTTATCTCACTCGATCTCTTAGAGCTTATTGCACCGACATGACGTTTGTTATTCGTTTTCTCTTTGGGGCTTAAGTCTCGTAAGGTTGCGACATGAAGTTCTTGTCAAGTCGTGATATGAACAAGAAAGTTTTAGTTGATGCGCACGTGATGAGATGACATAACCCAAAAGATAAAAGGGAATCTTACAAAGGTCTATTAAAAATTTGGATACACATGCTTTTAGAGCAACTGAGTCATTTGTTGTTTGTTCTTCGGTACCTATACACTAACTTGGCAACCAATTTGATTAATCCAAAGGACAAAGAAATACATCACACACAAAATAATGTCCACCGCAACAAATCTAGACTGGGTGCTACGACAAGACTTATGAATAGTACTATTCGATTTTTGTGTAAAATTGTTTTTTTTACCAATTAGGCAGCAGTGGGTAGCACCATCATTATTATTCATACAAAAGCAAATAAACTACAAACTAAAGCTTTATTTGCCGTAATGACATAAGCTGATTTACTGGTATTTATAAACGCTCGAACACTGTTTCTATGAATAGTACAAATCATTGTCGTAACTTATGAATGCGATGTAAACATTGGTGATGTAACTGCTAAGATCGGAAGCTGGCAAGATGATTTCAGTTAGATAATAGATTGTTCAATAATTTCGGAGCAGCTAGAGTGCATCGAACCTCAAACTCATTAAGAATAACTCAATCAGTTTCGCTCTGAAGGATCGGGTGCCTAAAAATCATTTAAAAACATTATTTGGCGTTTACTTTCAGTTTTAGGCTTTAAGTCGACTTTGAGTGTGACTTACAAGTGGTACGAACAACAGTAGGTACCTATTTTAGTAAACTAAAGAGTGACTGCTATATGACCTTCACAATTCATAGGAGGGAAACGATACTTTGTTAAACAACGAGAAGGTAGGTAGAAAAGCTTATCCATAACTAAACAACTCTTTTAATATAATTGTAATTAGTAGCTAATTTTTTTTACATATGACTTTGACTATAAGAAATCGGACTGAGGACTTCCCCTATTGCAAAAGGCTCTGTAGACTTCCCCTACTGAAGGTATTTTAACTTCAAGATGTGAAGTAGTTTAACCACACAGCTGCAACATTTGCCACAGAGTTCTTATAAAACCGCGATTGCCTATACGATTGTTTGCAAAATAAAGGTCGCGATAGAAACCGTAACAAATACTATTTCTACAATAGCAGCTACATAGTTCGTGACTTCAATGTGACCTCAAATAGATAGAGTCTCTGAACTATGCAAATCCGGTATAATATATTCTGTAGATAGATATTAAATAATAACTAAGATGCTAGTAGCCATTCAGCCGCAAAATTAATTGATGTTATGAATTTAAAGATCCAAATCAATTCGGTCATTAATATGACCCAACTTCAAAATAATTCCGCTGGTTTCCTCTTTGTTTTTTCTCAGCTTCTTGCTAGCAATAATTAGATATCGCAATATTTAGTATCAAATAGACATTACATTTATAAGCGGCAAGGCCATGTTTGCATACTTTTAAGTATGGAACGTACAAAATAACGATTTTACGTTGCGATTTTTTTAACAGAATTTACCTATATACCAACTGAGGTATAGTATAATATACCATTACATCATTGCTAAGTTTAACCGCGTTAGTTAAACAGAATAGCTTCGCGGAATTTGTGAATAAATTGTCACCGAGATTGGTAAATCCAATATCGTAAAAAAAATCGTATGGTGAATTAAAACGTTAAACAACCGACAATTTGTACTAATGTTGATGGATAAACCATTCCACAAGTATCTACTAAGACATTTTTCCTCGTTCGTTTGTTTGGGCGATATAAATAGCCGAAATTAAGCACCTTTTAATGACTACCTATTTAGCGTATATTATACTTCAGTACAAGGAGCTATGCATCAGTTCTTCACTTTAATTCTTATTTCTATTGTAATACTGTTCAACTTTTTGTAAAATTATTTGATATCTACATGTTTTTGTATTTAATCGCTTAACGGGGGCAACGGTAAATAATTGAGGAAGAAGTAAGATGACGGAATTCCTTTTTAAATGTAAAACGAAATAAGTAAAAGTGACGAGGCGATGGTCAATGAATCGGGAAGGGTATGCAAGGACACGATTGCTTGCAAAATCTCTGAAGTACAACAAGAGTGCTATAATGATTTTTATGTAGTTTTTATTAATAAAGAATGCTGTCAAGAGCTTTACGACCATCATACTACTTGTTAACCAAAGATACGGAGGATTTTCTGTAGACACTTTTTACACTGTGGTCAAAATTTAGGTAAGGTAGAGATTAATGCTCATTTCTATAGGCTTCATAACTGAAGTAGATAATATAGAGACTGATAAAATACGTACGTAAAATAGAATGTACCAAAATCTTAAGAATATGGGATTAACTGTCCATTTTATATTGAAAGAGCAGATTAATTTTAAACTAAAAGCAACAGTTTTATTCTAAATGTGACTTTGAAGTGGTATTACGAAACCTGAATGGCCAATAAGTTTGATTACGGCCTATAAAGCGTTAATAATATGATATAACCTTTTGCTAACGTATTCTTACAGCGTGCACTAATAGGAGGCTTTGTCATTGATCGTGGATTGTAATGATAATGATGTTCCTACACCTAATTGCATAATACTTAAGTCTAGCGTGAATACTTGTGATTTGTTCGCCGTTGATGCTAGCAATTTCAACTTATCTGTTAAAATAATACATGGTCTTTTGATAATTGCAGGTAAAATACCGGTTTGGTTAAAAACTGCTTATTGTGTTTTTATCCGATTTATCTAAAGAAGATTGCAGCTGTTTAGTAAGGGGTTTCTGGTTGGATTCCTCGGTCAGGTGAAATGAAAGCAGAAAGGTTTTCGGATTTTTTTAATTTTTCCCTAGTAACAATGAGTCTCGAATTGTGACTAACTCATTAGATAATTATATTGTAGCTGCCTTTTGGAGAATGTTTATGTTATTATTTGTTTTTTTTATGGGGCAAGCAATCGGTGTCGTCCATGGACACCCGGAACACCAGAGGCGATATAAGTGCATTATCGGTCTTTTGGAGATTAGGAATTTGAGGATTGTGGGAGATTCAGGGTTTCGGAAGATTGGGAGGGGGCGGGGGTAATTGGTCCTCCTGTAACGTCACACACACGACACTTCGTACCGAAGCACGGCTCTTCGACACTTAGAATTATACTATATTGTGTTATATATCGTGTTTTATACAATTTAAGGAACTCTTTAAAGTTTATTTTGTTTAATTGTTACGTCTACCCATAAGGTAATATGTTACACAGGTTAACCTCCTATAAATTAACGATTCAAATAACTGTTTATAGAGGAAGCGATTAATAAAGTAATTATTAAAATAAAATTGTTTTGAGGATCATCGCAGCTGATGATTTTATTGAGTGTTAATTGAATAATCGGTTATTATTATTCATTACTATAATTATTTATTGTCTTAATTGGTTTTTACTACTGAATAAAATGTAATTTACTATTGTATGTTATTTTTAATTTATTTATTTTGGAGGTCGTTGAGTTAATACAGGAAATTTGAATTGATAGTTGTATTGTTGTAGTTTTGTTCAAAGGAATAGTAACTTTATTGCATATGGCCATTCGAAAATATTTTCAGATTAACTACTCAGTTTGGTATTAAAAAGCTATGGATACCTACCAGGTATATTACATTTATAGGTTAGTTTCGTTAACTTTGTTATTCCTTTAAACTAAAACAATAGTTTCTTAATACGATTTAGATGAACCTAAAGTATTACATAAGGATCAAAAATTAAAAAAAATAAAATAAATAAAACATTGCGCGTTTTACTTCCAACAGAGTTTTTCAGCACTTAGGGTAACATTCTTTTGTCCTGTCTCTCACAGGACATGAGGGCGAGGTGTCAGAGATTTTATAGCCATAATGTCATACTAATACGTATCTACGAGACATAATATAATAAATATACACTTACCATCAACATAATTAGCAGGCAGTAGCCTAAGGAAGACATCGCCTCGTCTTCCCCACGGCCTATGTCTGACATTGTTGCACTCCCCGCTTGCACTGCGGTACTTGCTCGGTGGGCAGGGTATCCTACTCGATTCATCTTCGTCTGATGTGCAATTGTGCCTGTAAATGAGAAGATGTTAAGAAAGGTTCAGAGAATAAATGAGATATGTATGCAATTAAATCAAATGCTAAAAGTATACATACACCCATGTGTTAAGTGATATAATTTCTTTATTACGTATAATAAATGTTATATATCGTTCTACTTCGAAACTGATTTATAAAAAATAGTAAATAAGATGGTATGCCTAAGTGCAAACTTCTTTCTGAATGAATTCAGAAAGAAGTTTAACTTCTTTCTGAATGAATTCAGAAAGAAGTTTAGATGCCAAACGTAGAATTTATAACAATCTCATTATGTTAAGATTGAAGTCTTTATTTAGCATTGTAGATATATCTTCTGACCTGGTTGATAATAATGATGAGTAGCATAAGAACAGATAAGAGGTACTTACGCATCGCTAGCGCCTAATAGAAATCTCTTTTCTAAAGCTAGTGCTTCGCTAACTGCTCTCCTAAGGTCACTCGGTACCGCCTGTATACTGTCATCTCCTTTGATTTTCTGTGCACTCGTCTGTACCGCTAACACAGCCGCTAAGAGCAGCAGACTTCGCCGTAATCTGAAATAAAGAGAAGTTTTATTAATATTTTGTAAAACTTATAAATTAATTATCTTGGACTGTAGGCAACGCTAAGTCGCCGCATCCACGCACGCTGCCTATGAGGCAGAGTCCCAGTTTAACTTGAATTCAGTAGAGATTTTCTAAATATTGACGTGAATTAACCGGCATTTTAAATTGATTGATACGAGGTTCTGTTTTAGGGTAACTGTTATTGGATCATTCAATTAAGAACTATGGGTTATAGTAACCAAGAAATATATTTTTATGAACCTATACCCTCCAGGTTTTGAAGTATGGAATTCGATACATTTCTTTAACTATTATGCTTCTCCCAAACAGTGCAAGCAATGAAGGCAGTTAAGTACTTTTAGTAACATATAAATTCTTTCCGTTGCACAGTTATAAATCCATCTGTTTTGAAAACACAGCTATTTAATTAGAATGGAATGTGTACCAATAAAACTATAAACTCGACATAAATAACAATAAAGCAGTCACCATGGAAATATTCATTAAAGTTACGTCTGCCACCGTAAGTCGTCATGATCTGTTGATCACTATGAAACTTGTAGGTATTAATATGTCGTTAACCTACATTTAAGAAGTCGATGCCACGTCCGAGTTCAAGGTATATTAAACTTGCTTTATGATAGCTAAATAATACGTTTGTTCCTCGAGTATCTTCCACATAATCACGTCTTGCTTCCATGATGACCCTTGAGTACGTCAATTTTAAGATCTCTTCAATTTTTTATTTTGAACTGATATTTACATTTTGCATAAGATGAAAGCTAGGATTTAATATGACGCAAAATATTGCGAATTATCTGCTATTTAAGTATATCTCGATACCTATAACAATAAAAGTTTTTCTATTATTTATTTTATCAATTCAAATGCTAATAATCTCATTAAAAGACAAAACCAGTCGCATTATTAATATGACAATTCGTTTGTTATTTCGTTGCACATCCACTTTATAGATAAGCTGTAGAACTGTTAATAATTATTTTATTGTACAATTAATAGCGAAGGTTTAATTGCCTTTCGGTTTACGTTTACAGCAATGCAATATTAAGAAAATAAAATTAGAGTGCCGTTATCCATCAACGATAATTTATTCAAAGAAACGATTGATAATTCGCCATAAAGAAGAATTTAACTGCTTAAAGTTATTGCATGCATTTTCTTTATATCTTTTGTATAGTTAGATTAAGTTCATATATAGGAAAAGTATTACTTTGACCGCACGGCAACCACAACTACTTATCTATCTATGCTTTCATTTTTTATCTATGATCTCTTATGACATCTTACCGGTTAAACCATACATCTTACTTTCTACCCACTGGGTTCACTGTTCCGAAACCAATTAATCAACATTCCTTGTCGTCAAAGGTTACAATGGCGTAGTTATGATGTAATTCACTAAACTTTAGGCGTAGCCACAAAGATTGACGAAGAAAATATTTAAAAATGTTTTTTTATTTTACGTACTGCTTTCATTGATGCATGTTTGACATACCTATTTCGAAACGGTATGCGGCATTGACATTATAAGAAACTTTTATCAAAATAAATCAATTTGAGATTGCACTCACGGATTGATTGGTCTGTCAGAAGATCGATAAGTTCAACTTTGCGCAGTAAAGAGTTCATTGTTGAACAAATATTATGCGGAATGTGGATTTTAAGGTTAAGTACGAGTTTACAAGTTACTGTTAATGTTTAACATCGAATTATTTAAATTTATTTTAAGACAAAATAATTGCAAAATGATTGCTTTTAACAAGATAATAAATTACGCATTTGCTAAATAAATTGTAGTTGTAAATTTTTTAGACTTTGTAAGAAACTGACAAATCGTCAAACTTGGTAAACGCATAGATAATCTGTTGTGATAATATTAATCTCTGTTTATAAAACGAAACCTCGATTAAGGAATTCACAAAATATTTGTCTCAAAAATTTAAATCATAGCCATCAAAGATGCTCATACTACAATGATTAGACAGGAAAGAAAGTTAAACAATTATACTTACGTGAGAAACTATCTAATTTACACAACAATTCTTTACGTGTTTTACAAATGGTTTCACCTGTTCTTTGAGCTTTTCGACTGTAAGAATTACACTGGCTTTCAAACTATTTGACATAGTTTTGTACCTAAAACTGACAAAAACAACAAACATTATTATTTTGCTTACGTTAGCTTCACGCCTTTTTGTCCTATGTTACCAGTTATGATATATCCCTTGTAACAGTGGATGATTATACCCTCTTTTTATTAAAGGTGTTAAACTAATGTACTTAATAAAATAGTAAGTAACTCTGGGTCAACTTCTAGACTCCATACTATCACTGGAATGTGCTTGAAAAACCGTAAAACCCCAATAAGACTGTCCAATTTGGGAATATGAGATTACTCGCGCACCATGACTTGCATTCAATCAGAAGAGGTAGGCTATTCTGTGTATTATGGGAGGTTAGGTTTTTAGGTATTACTCAAAATGCTAACGGCTGTAGTACATTATAATGTGGCACATCATACGATACTCACGTAAGTAGGATTTTCGTGAGACACGACTTAAAGGACAAAGCAATTACAGCAATACTTAGTTTCTACTTAATTTTGATCTTGAGGTTGTCATCTTTGCATTGCATCGAATTAAGCACAGAGCTTTATAAGAAAATGGCTAATATTTTCATTAGGTTATGTTTATGTGTTCACTTTGTAATAAACATTCAAATAAAGTACTTATATTTAATGATTACATTAGACTTACAAGATACAATAGATACCTATATAGATTTCAACAAAAATGCAATAAAAAAATGCACAAGAAATGCACATTTAAAGATGTCTATGTGCTAGCATTTAAACAGTTAGGTTAGTAGTACAATTTTTGATTATGTCTTGTCTTCGTAATACCAATAATTATGTAACACGAAGCATGTGGAACAGCCGGTTTTTTTGGTTCCTCTCGCCTTGAAAGGAGCACCAACCGGTTGTATTTGGTTGGCAACGTGCACTGCACGATATGACTAAATGTCACATCGACACTTTCACACTCCCGGATTTTGCGTACAGCGTTACATAAATATGAATGAGAAGTAAGTAACCTATCTGTTACAAAGTGTATTTTATATTAAGATCATGTACCTATCTATGTATGTATCATCACTTCATAGTATAAAACAAAGTCGCTATCTGATCTGATGTCTGTCTGTCCATATGTAAGCTTAGATCTTTAAAACTATGCAACGGATTTTAATGCGTTTTTTTTTAATAGATAGAGTGGTTCTTAAGGAAGGTTTATATGTATACATGCATATTACACCCGTGCGGAGTCGTGGCGGGTCGCTAGTATTTTTTCTAAAGAACTACGGTACATATACGATATATACTTCACAAGTAAATATTACGGTAAATATTACGATAAGAATTAGGTGCAATTACGTATCACAATATTCCAAATTAATTGTCGACAGATTTCACTGCTATAATTTTAGTGACATTTTTGAAGAACTAATAGGTATGACTACCGGCTTTGCTGTAGTCATAATTATTACATATAAAACATAAGTAGGTCGTAGTTGTAAAGTCCAGTGTATAAGTAATGCATCATCTACATTACATTACTTTGTGGATATTTATTACCCATCTTGTCAATACAAACTGACGTGTGAATTACAAAACTACGTAACAAGATGAACTAATGATTCCAAGATGTAAATTATCTACGAAAGCTATAGGAAAACACTTCATTTATTACCTTACGCAATTGTTTCAAGCCTTTGTCAATGTAATTGTTATAAAACTTTTCAATAACGTTATAAGTAGGTTAGGTTAATTAGTGAACGTGTCACATTACGAACTGTGAACGTATACAATTAAAAACAATTGCGTATAAATCATTTTGACGTTAATTGACGTTTGGTAAAATTTAAGGGATTGAAGGCGGTGTTTGGTTGAATATTATGGAAAGAATATGCTGAGATAAGGTTGTATTTTGATTGGAATCAGCTTTCAAAATGTATGGCAAAGAATTAAAATTTATAAATTTCCAATAAACGGTATTAAATCAAAATTAATCGGTATAAGATTCCGATATAAAAGTTACAAATAATTGTAATACTAGCTACAAATATTATTATTAATACCAAGAGCTTTTTGAAGGTCTCAGCTAACAAATTAGCTAGATTTCAATGTCAAACAACAGACAATACTATAACATGTACTACAACTGTAACCTAAAAAAAATGTTCTAATCATTGGAACTGCGCACCCATATAAAGCGAAAGTATTGTCAAGTTACGTGACTAAAAAGTTTGAATACTTAAAATGGATATCGTTGGACCTACTGTATGTTGGACAAGGTCAGCTGTTTCGAAACTTCAGCGAAAATAGTTACACTGGATGGGACACGACGACAAAGAATGTTGATACTATTTCGTACACTCAATGCTGGTCTCATTACGCGGAATTTGACCTAATTAACGTGGAATGGCAACTAGATTTGGAATACAGATTTTAAGAATAGTTACATTCTTATGTCTATAGAGGGATGTATCTCATTAACTTTTTTGTCCCATTTAAAGAGAGTAAGGTCATGTATTGTTTTGAACATTAAGTCTATTCTTGTCATAGAATCTAATTTTGGCAAATTCTACATGTAGTTCATTTAGATTCTGAATGGATTAAGAACCACATCTATCATCTAAACCTAGACTTGATGGTAGTATAGTAAAAAGATGGTCTACTTAGTCTGATAAATAAAAAAATCAGATGATATAAAAGCAAATACTCTCGCGTACCAATTAGGAAACAATTTATCAGCTCATTATACGAAAGTGTCTAATGAGTTTTCATTGGCTTATCTAGATAATTTATCTGTGCATAAATGGGCTAGGATACTAGAGATTTATTCCGACACCCATTGTTTGTTTGAGAAGGTTGCGCAGCCATATGATTTGCACAGAATGAGACAACTATT